CTTGAGAGGAGCGAGAGGGAGTGGCGGGATAGTTGCCTGATATGAGTGGGAAGAGGGGGGTCACACAGGCAAATCAAAGTGTGGTCTTAATATGCACGTCACAATCTTACTTAAATGTATCTTTAAATCACATTTTTAGACCAAAAAAAGGAAGGTTTTTCTAAATTGTGGATGAGGACCCCTCTTACATTTCCAGGGAGAGGGTCCCTCCCCCTACCCCCACTCCGACGTCCCGCCTGAGTAGCTGACCTTGCAATAGGTCATATTGGAAGTTTACAGGGAATATAGCATTTGTAAAACACGGGAGCCTCTACCTGTTCAATACGTACGGTTAAGAAATCTGCGACAATATTGTAAAGATTAAGTACTAGCAATCTCTGTAATGGAACGTAGCGACTGAGCGAGAAAAAAAAATCAGAGGTGAAATTGAGCTGTTTTAGAACAATCCCGAACCAATGGTCGCAGCCTTTACTCTTTATTGTAATGTTGTTGTTTTGTTTTCATTTTTCAAAATTTCCGAGGGGGAAGGTTCCCCTAGCTTATCCCTTTCCCCGGGATCGCCGCCCGTTATTGCTGAATACATCCGCTGTGTTAGATAAAATAACATTAAAAAAAAAAAATCTTCTTTTTTATCTTAAAGATACTATGTCCCTTTTGCAGCCAACCTCAAATTCTGTAGAACTTTGCAGGAATTATGAATATGTCATGTATGTCCTATCTGTGAAATTTAAACGTTAGCAGTGTCCTTATATTAAAATTATGCAAGAAAACCAGTTTACTTGCTAGACTTCACTGTCAGACACTATTGTCAGTATTGAGTGACTGACTGGCTTTTTCTTCTTCTTTGGTAATAACATAAAATGAACTGTAAAGGATTTGTCTACATCAATAACCCACTTCTTGTAATGGCAAAAATTAAACTGATTGAATCTTTGCGCAGCATAAAACGTACGACCATGCGGTACAATGGTCTGAAAATCAAGACTATTACTTATTGGCTCTATAGCTCCTAAGTCGATTTGCCAACTAATAGTCGTTATTTTCCCACTTTAAGACATTTTCAAGCCTCATTTTTTTTAAGGGGGGTTCTAAATTAGTATTATCTTTCAAATGCCATTGGAATTTAACCTTTTCATTTTGTTGGCCTGCAAAAGGGAACATAGTACCTTTAATATATTTTGACATGAGTAATCATTTACATTGCTCGTCTTGTAGGTGGGAAATATACAGTCTAGTCAATGAAGATAGAAACTGAACAGTTCGAACGAAATGGGGAATCATAGCGATGCATTTGAGTACCCCTCCCTATTCTTTGATTTTCAATAAACATTTCACCGGGCGAGTGCGCTCTTATATTTGAAACCACTTGCCATGAATGCGGCTTTCTGAGACCTGGGAGCTACTGTTTTGCAGACAGTTTATACTGGGATAGAAGAGGCTATTGGAGAATTTGGATATTGTGGCTGTGTACCTTGAAGAAATAATGTGAGTTGATTTTAAGATGTATGGTGTTTTAGTCAACTGTTAAATCTTGCTGTAGCGTTGTCATATACATGCATAATAAAGTTTTGGTTTGGGGTCATGAATTTGGTTCAAATTAACATATTGAAAGTATATGCGGTTTTACAATATTCAATGATCGTTGTCGCGGTTGAAATCGAGTCTTAAGTGATAAAATTGTAATTAATAAACTCTGTATGTTGTATAGCTTCCTATCAAGACTGATATTACTTTAGCTTTAAAACAATGTTTCTTGACTATACAATCGACCAAAGTGCTGTTCCCGTTTGGAATTATATATCAGAGCCCTGTATTACAAAGAGTTGATATCAACCGCAACATATTTGAGGTTGATATCAATCACAACTATGTACATAAGAGATGGGAGACTGCAAACTTGGGATTGATTGAGGGACTTGATATTGATTCGGATCAATATCAACTCTTTGTAAGACGGGGCCCAGAACTGCATATTCTGAGATTTTCATGGTCGCAGCTACCATGGAATGGCCTTAGGCGCTATTTGAAATACACTGTTGCTCATAAAGTTGGAATATTTTTTTTTACCCCATTTTATGGAATTATTAAAATAATTATTTATTCCTAATAGATCTGGATAACAGTATAAGTTCTCAGATCTTATTGAATAATAATTTGCCAGTGTTTGTTTTGTGTGACTGCTAAAGCATGTGTATGCTACTATGTTTATCAACTAGGGGACCTACGCCCTTAAGTCATAAATGACAGTAATGAGGATTAATGCCCATCAAAAGGGCACTAATATAGCACATCGACACGGTTTTGATCATGGGGCCTCACAGTTACATACAACAATCCTCTGTACGGCCATGCATTATGGCTCAAGGCATGGGCACACAGAAGATTTTTTTTATGTTGGGGACCGTGGTAAAATGCAATGAATTATTGATAATTTATTGCATTTAAAAAAATATATATATTTGTGGGAACTGCCCCCTACCCTAGCCCCCGCTGCGTACAGTCATGGTTCATTGGCAAAGCAATTGCCTCGTAACTGTGAGGACCCAGGATAAAAACCGTGTCGATGTGCTATATTTTTCTGTCCAAATGTCGAAAACCAATTGAATATTTGATTTGATTTTATTCTATTTTCTTCTGCATTAATTTTCATTTTTTCGATAACAAAAATATTAAGTACAATAAGTATTTTACTGACAATGAATCATAAATGAGCAAATACATATTTATATATATATACACTGTTATTTTCAAAAATGAAATGACAAACTGTTACAAATACAAAATTTTCTCAAACATTATAACACATTATAACATTATTTGCGGAAGAAGCACTGTCATTGTAAGCAGATTGCTTGATAATACGCCAGCCCCAGACAAAAACTCATGAAATTTATGAACACAATTATTAAGCAGAAACGGATAGTTCATTGGAAATACAAATTTCGATGATGGTGATGCAGATGAGGATGATGATGATGATGATGAAGATGATGATGATGATGATGATGATGATGAATATGATGATGACGATGGTGAAATAATTCGAATGAAATAAGAGATGACATGATAAAGAATAAAGAGTTGACACAACAATTCTACCTTGAGTATTGTGATAATAACATCGTTTTAACTTTGGCCTTAAATGAGTAGATAGAGCAACATAATTTAAAAGATTCTGGGAGAGAGTTCCATAGGTCAGGACCATGGTGTTTTATGGATCTATGGGCAATATAAGTAATTTCGGGTTTACTAGATGAAAATTTGAGGAATTACTGGTATAGGGTAAGAGTGAATAGCTTTATTCATAGTGTAAAAGTTTTGAAATGAAAGAAATATGTTAAGTATTGGCTGAGATATGACCATCTGAATAAATAGATGTCCTGTAGGAACTCAGTGTTATATTGCTCTGGCTTGTAATGTTATGAACATGGAAATGAAGAACAAAATTGAGAAATTCACCATTTTTTAAAATAGATTTTTGATGACGTCATACTTTACCACTCTATATCCAAATTATGCAAGGAAACCCGTTTACTTGTTAGACTTCACTGTCAGACATTATATACCTCACTTAAGAAATCCAGCCATCTGATTGGTCGAATTGCATTCATAAACTTCAACTGTTCCTGTAAAATTCCCGGTAACCATGCTTAAAACATTTCAATATTTTTAATAACCATGGTTATTAAAAAAATAGGTCAGTCTCCATGGTTACCCCATAGGTTTACATGTTAAAAAATGGTTTGAGCGATGGAGGATACCATACGTGTGCGAAAAATTGGTCGGCAATTTCAATACAATTGAATCTCGATCGATCTTACCGACAATTTTATCTTGCATTGTTGACATGAAGACGAAAATTAACTCTCAAAAACAAAAAAACAACATCTGCCGATAGATCTTGATCTAAGTTCGTGCCAATATGCATTGCAAAAGTAAAAGAAGGGTCCGTTTCATGGAGCTTTTGCGAAGCATCCCTCACGCGGAGCCGTTTTCAATCCATTTTAATGTATATATTGGAGAAAACTGACAAGCATGTTAACGGCGCGCGATAGCCGAGTGGTCTAAGCGTTGGTTTTCGATACACCTCTTGTTGTATGCAAGAGTTCGAATCCCGTCTTCGACAAAAATGTAAATTATTTTTTATTTTTTAGTCTATTTTTTTTCGGCATATAAAAGTATTAATGACTGCTTTAATATTCGAGAAATAGTTGTTTTCATACGCTCTCGGGAAGGTTACAATTGGGCTATTCCCCTCGGCAAGCCTCGGGGAATAGCACAATTCTAACCTTCCCTTGAGCGTAATAAAACAACTATTTCTCTCAAAGCAGTCATTAATACTATACTATTGAGTGACTGTTTGGCTTTCTTCTTCTTTGGTAATAACATCCATAAAATGAGCTGTAAAGGGTACATGAGCATTTGTCTACATCAATAACCCACTTCTTGTATAATGGCCAAAATTAAACTGATTGAATCTTTGCGCAGCATAAAACGATCGACCATTTGGTACAATGGTCTGAAAACCAGACTATTACTTACTGTCTCTATAGCTCTTAAGTCGAATCGACAACTAATAGTCGTTATTTTCCCACTCAAAGTCATTTTCAAGCCCCCCCCCTTTTTTTAGGGTAGTTCTAAATTGGTATTATCTTTCAAATGCCGTTGGAATTTAACCTTTTCATTTTTTTTGGCCTGCAAATGGGACATAGCACCTGTAAGGTAGGAATTCCCTTTAAACAAGTGAGAAACTGAATACAAGGATGTAAACGTATTCATTTTTGTGTTGGCCTAATACTTGTAGTGATTATTCAATGTAGTTGATGGAAAAGTAATGAATTGTTTAACATTTAAATAAAACGGAAAAAGGTAAGTACAGCTCTTCTTTGGGTTTTTACACTTTTTTTAATATTTTTTTTTTTTTTAATTCATCATTATGACCTCAGGCATTTCCATTAAACAAATTGTCAAATTCTGCTATAAACAATCAACAGATTCGGAATGGCGGACTGCAGAAAGTTCATCAAAATCCTCCTCCTTTGGATTGTCTTCATGTCATTTTTCACTGAGAATACAGGTGAGTTATTGTAGCCTTGATCAAAAACCAATGCATATTGTCTTACACTTTATCCTTCCCATCTAAATCCTCTGTCTCTCACTTGTTTTATTATCCAAAATCATGATTATGATTTGCGAGATCCAAGGCGCTCTGTCGGATTTAAACTTGACAACGACTATGTTTGGAAAAAGATGTATAATTATAAATGGGCATCTGAGAATCCTTGCAGTACTTGCAGTAAACAAAACGGACCGAAAAAAACCCGTTTAAGCAGATACGTAAGAAGGCGCTGAGATTATGGGAAGGCCTTTACCAAACTGGCCATTAAACTGAAACATTACTACGGAATTGAAAATCGCAACCGGGAGCAGGCGAAACCAATAATTTTGTTCTCGCTTGTCTTTTCTCTCAAAATGTTGACAGTTCATGAGATTGTGACGGTCTACTCACAAAAAAATGAAGGTCCCGTTCCATGTTTGCTCACTTTTCGTAAAGCCCACGAGACTGACAGCTCATTAGAACGACATTCTTTTTATTTCTAAATTCCACCTTTTTCCATCATTTTCCTTTCTCTATTTATGTATATATATTACATTACATTATATTGTTTTCAATTCCACAAATTTTATTTCCAAACCTTTGTAACATTGAATTTTCCATTATACTTATAAGGCTCCACTATTAAAAAGAAAATTGCTGGTCGCTCAAAAGAATAAATTTAGAAAGGAACATTCCACCAACACTGCAAAAACAAGGAGGACATTTTTTTCCCAATAATTTTGTTATTTTCTCCTAACCATTTATTATACACAGTATTAATATAATTATTATTTTTTGTGTGTTGTTTTTATTTCACCGTTTCAACAACCAATCTACTGCAGGATAAACAATCCATAATAAATCATAGCAATTTTCTCTCAAAACACGATTCCCATATCAGAACTCAAGATTATACATTAACTAGATTCTTTATAAATCTCCAATAAACTTTTTCTAACTATGCAAATATTTACGTTTTATTGATTATATACCTTGATTCATCTGTTTATCACATTTGAATATATCCAAGATCAAATCCGAAAGGATTTCTTATTTGCTCCTTTTTATACAAATGTCATAGATCTGATTATTAACTGTACACATTTATTAAAAGCTAATATTTTTGTTGTTTACATACCCAATAATATTTCATTTTCAATTTTAATGCTTTTGAAATGTAATCTTTTGATATGCTTCATCATTCTCAGCAATTCGGTTTTTTGAATGCTAATGCGAATGTTTATTTTTAAATTGATCTTTTTACTTAAATAAACCATTCAATGAATTTAATCAAAAGCGTTTTGGGATCGCCGGCGGCGACGACGGCGTAGTCCACCACCACCACCACCTCCAGGTAAATTTTACTTTCTAAGAATAGATGTGTTCTAACTAAATTTTAATAACGTCATTTTTTGTTGTTGACCCAATGGCTCCATCATATTTGAGCTCTGGGGGGCGTTTCATGAAACAATTAGTCGGTGGTTTTCACCGACTAATATCATATTCACCGACAATTATTTTGTCACCGACTATTTTCCAGGCCTGTGATTGGTCAAATTTAGTCAGCGCTGACTAAATTGTCGGTGAACATGATATTAGTCGGTGAAAACCACTGACTAATTGTTTCATGAAACGCCTCCCAGATCTTTGTTTGGTGCCTAGTGATCTAAATATTATAAAGACAAAATTTAAAGACCATTTCAACTAATATTGTTAAATTTTGTTAATGTTTAATGTTGTCAGCAGGCAGGTTTTGTTATGGTGATCCCACAACAAGACTAGTGCTTTAGGATATTCCGCCTACTTCCAAAATCTGAAATATATGCATGATACTCTCAATTTGTTTTTAAGACGGGAATAAATATTCAATGAATTGAATTGAATAAGGTGTAAATAAGGCTACTGCCATTTCAATGATGTACTTCGAAAAAATTGATGAAACCTGATCGAAATGTTCAGGCATAACCTTTTATATCATGACTGACCACTGCCAGGCATTTTGTATGGTGTCTGCTAGGGTTTAAAGCATTTTTGTCTACAACTAGTTCTTCTACTATCCAATTGGTCTGTTCTCATATACCCCAATCCAGTCCACTATCGACATGATCAAATAATTATTTCGTTTATTTGTTTATTTGTTGTTGTTTTTTCTCTGCGTTATCAATATAGAACTTAATCATATACATAAAGTAACAATTATTTCTTCATTATACATTATTATAATTTTTATAAATATTTTTCAATGAAAAAAAATAAATTACAGAAAACGCAGGAGATCGCCATCATCCATTAGGTCTAATAATTCTTTGATGATTATTATTGTTCATGATTAAATGATTATTAGACCATAATGGGTAGACACAACGGCCATTAGATAAACTGGGAATAAGCCCGATTTTCACTTTGACCAAATGAGTGATTGACGTAATGATTATGAGACCATGTGGATAATAGACGGGCTTGGTGGTGTAGACCGAATGGGAATAGACCAATTGGGTATAAGACGAACTGGTGGTAGACCAAACGGCAAACTGCATGGGTGAAACCTGGTGGGAACTTGTTCATCGATCCCCTTTGGCTCTTGGTTAAGTAGAAACAATGAAACATTTTTGTTATTAATAATTTTTCCTGAAACAGATACCACGAGACCAAGTTTCACCTACTGCCCTGGGAATCTTGGAAATCAGTACACAACAACAGCGTCTAAGGCAGTGTCTTGGAGTACACCAAGGGCTACGGACAATAGTGGATCTGTTACAGTTTCGTATGTCGAATATGTATTATATATATATGTTGCTAAATGTTAGTGCTAACAAGCAGTAGTAGTGGTGGTAGGATCGAGGAAGAAGAGGAGTAAGCCGAGTAACAGAAGTAGGATATGCAGTATTAGTAGAAGTGGTAGTAGTATAGTAGTAGAGTAGTAGAAGTAGTAGTAGTAGTAGTAGTAGTAGTAGTAGTAGTAGTAGAGGTAGCAATATTCGTAGTAATAATACGTAGTTGTAGTAGTAGTATAGTAGTATAGTAGTAGTAGTAGTAGTAGTAGTAGTAGTAGAGGTAGCAATATTCGTAGTAATAATACGTAGTTGTAGTAGTAGTATAGTAGTATAGTAGTAGTAGTAGTAGTAGTAGTAGTAGTAGTAGTAGTAGTAGTAGTAATCGTCGTGTAATAGTAGCATGACCATGAATCACTATAAATGTTTTAATGGAAATATTGAAAGCATCCGGTGATTCAATGCTCCATATGTTAAATTATCCATTCTTTAAAAAAAAAAAGTTTATGCTACGACAAAATAAAAGTATGTTTGAAAAATCATTTTTGGCAGCGTCTAACTAAAAACCGATTCAATTCCCCAGAATGTACACATTCATTTATTAGCAGGTTATTGTATAATCTGAATTCGTCTTCCTTTTCTTGTACTCAAACGGAAGATAAAGTTTGTTCATTATGACAAATCCATTAATAAAGTTAGGTCAATAAGCTGATGCTTGCCTGTAATGTTGATATTGCTTTGATACATCCCCTCTTGTAATTGACAGCAAAGTATCAGGATCAAACTCTGGAACTACGTTCAGTGTTTCCAGCTCTTCACACACCATTCAATACCGAGCAACGGACAGTTCCGGAAATTATGCTACCTGCGAGATCACTTTTAAAGTTGTAGGTAAGAAACAGACAAAGAAGTCTTTAAAAATACTTATATTAATTTTGTAAAAGGGGCACCAGTCCATAAGATCTTGATATTTTTCGGTTGCCCCTAACAATATGTTAACTTTATACATGTATATGATTATGTCAATATGTTTTATTGTATTGTACTATTTTTTTTCCATATCGTTGAATAAAGATGAATTGAATTGAAAAAAAAGCAAAATTCAATTTCCAGAATCTATTTTTGGTGATTATATAGCGATATCCTTTGATTCAGTAAAGATAGCAACCACAAATCAACGACAACAATTAAGAATGATAATAATATTTATATGAATATAATATTGTTGTTCTTATTATTAATATTATATATTATTATTATTTATATGATTATATTTTTACTTTTTATCAATGATATATCACAATCCATCAAATCTGGTGTTCTAACAATATATGCTGATGATGTTATTTTATTTGAAATAGGGAAAGATGTGCAAACTATAACCTCTAGACTCCAATCAAATATTGATTCTATTAATGATTGGTACAAACAAAACCACCTAAGAATTAATGTTGACAAAACCAGGTTTGTAAAAAACGCGTAAAAACGCGTCATATGACGTACGAAAACCAGGGTTTGTCGACAAACCTCCTTTGTCAATTCGGGTCTGTGTGTCTGGTGTCGGTCGTTGTTGTTGTTGTTGTTAATTGCTGTAATGGTAATATCAGTCAAGAACTGACTATATAATCATAAACGCCTTTCTTTTTAATATTAATTTCCTTCTAGGAACGGTATAGGCTTCTCTCTCTTTTTCTCCCTTAAAATCCTATATATTTAATCTTAATAACTCAAACAAGGAATTAAAATGAAAAAATAACAAAACAAAACAACAAAAACCCCCCAAACCGGCCACCGAAAATGCCCGGTGGGGTCACTCCCCTGCAAAGAGTGACACGTATGACCGTTACCACCAATGCATATAACCCCCTTTTGCGGTCAATTTCATGGACATTTTGTGAAATTTAACCCCCTTTTTTACGTCAAAAAAAGGACAAAATCGTGCTTTGGAATGCCCCTATTTATAAGATTGTAAGGACACTTTCGCAAATTTACCCCTATTTTACCATATTTCAAGGACAAGACTCGGCTCCGAGAATTTTTCTTCCCGGTTTTCTCTTTTCCCTTCCCGGTTTTCTCTTTTCCCTTTTCCTGACCCCTATTTATCAATTTCGGGAACACCTGTGCACCCCTGTTTTCTTTATTTCGAGGAATATTTTTTCCGCAGACATTGCTTGAAATTGACCCCTTTTTCCGCGATTTTGGTAACGGTCATGCGGTCCGGAAGTCACATTGAGTGATCCCACCGGGCGAAAATGTAGATTTTCGTTGGTCATCATCTATATCAAATTGACATGCCTGTATTGTGCTTGCAGGTATTCGCTGCTCCACGTTGGTAGCCCCCTCTCGTGGCCAAGTAGGATGCACCAATTCTAATTTTATCTCATCAGTCTGTACATACTCCTGTTCAACTGGATACCGAGTAGTTGGTGTGACAACTCAGTCTTGCTATCAGTCAGGCAACGATGGATCGTGGACCGGCTTAAAGCCGTCTTGTCAAAGTAAGTGCAACCTGGTAATCATCGCCCCCCCTCCTTTATGACCCCTTTGGCAAACCCGGACTTTAGTGCCCAGCTGAAAATCTCAGTTTATTATGGATTTAATATCAATAATATTAATTATGCTAATATATGCAAATATAAACATACCAAAACTTGATGATTTTTAATCATTTGACGTCATAAAAAGCAATTTTAAGCCAAAAATAGCAGCGAAGTAGGGGATCTCCTCTTTGCTTGATGCGAGATACTAGCGAACTGAAATAACCGAATAAAAACTATGGTGAACTAAAAAAAGAAAAGAAAAAATCAAACCACCTCTGAAATTACCTTTGAAATGTTTATTAATTTTTTCTTCCGATATGCGCACATGATAGGGGCAGGTTGGGATGGGATGGGGGGGGGGGTAAAAGGGCAAAGAAAGAAGAAGCAGAATGAAGAAAAGAGCCCCCGGAAAAAAAAATAGAAAAATGATTACAAAGAAATAAAAGTAAATAATAAATTTAGCCCCCCCCCCCAGGCCAGTTGCCCTTTTACCCCAAATTTGGCGAGTTTTCAGCACCCCCATTCCATCCCACTCGCCCCCTCGATGCGTGCATGCCTATTAAAGAGAAAGGGAGAAAGGGACGGGGGGGGGGGCAGAGAAAAAGAAAGAAAGATTAAAATAACCCTTAAATTTGGCGCCCCCATCAGGAAGGGGGGGGGGGTGTCATCTCTTCAAACCCCCAATGTTTCGTGCATATCTGGTGAGAAAGAAAGAAGAAGCAGAATAAAGAAAAGAGCCACCCCGGAAAAAAATTAGAAAAATGATTACAAAGAAAAATAAGTAAATAATAAATTTAGCCCCCCCCCCCCAAGGCCAGTTGCCCTTTTACCCCAAATTTGGCGACTATTGAGCACCCCCCCCCCATCCCATCCCAACCTGCCCCTATCATGTGCGCATATCGGAAGAAAAAATTAATAAACATTTCAAAGGTAATTTCAGAGGTGGTTTGATTTTTTCTTTTCTTTTTTTAGTTCACCATAGTTTTTATTCGGTTATTTCAGTTCGCTAGTATCTCGCATCAAGCAAAGAGGAGATCCCCTACTTCGCTGCTATTTTTGGCTTAAAATTGCTTTTTATGACGTCAAATGATTAAAAATCATCAAGTTTTGGTATGTTTATATTTGCATATATTAGCATAATTAATATTATTGATATTAAATCCATAATAAACTGAGATTTTCAGCTGGGCACTAAAGTCCGGGTTTGCCACCCCTTTACCCCCCCCCCCCCCCCCCCCCCCCACACTCAGTGTTATTTAGGGTACACGCGTGCTTATGCACGTTCCCTCCCTTTGAAAGCACCCCCTATCTCCGGTGTGTACATCATGCAGCTGCATGCTGCAGTCACACCGCAAAACCGACCCATGTTTTAGCCACTGATGGCAATGTAAATGTTCGATTTTTTGTCGGCCCGGTCAGGTGTATAGATCGCGTTGGTGTGACCGGGTTATTGAACTTTATAGTTATGTATGTAATGGTATGTACGATCGAGTCTTCCGGCATGGCCCCTAGGCCCTAATAATAGTAATAATGATAATATGCCAAACGTAATATATTTGATTTTGAATTTGAGAAGTGCTCCATCCAAGGCCAAGGCCAATAACATATTCCTAGGGGGCAGGATGATGTAGCTCTCTCTCTCTCTGTCTCTCTCTCTGTCTCTCTCTCTGTCTCTCTGAGTCTCTCTCTACCTAGGTTTTATGTTATAACTTGTGTTGTTATTGATTTCCCTGGCTCCCCCACTCCAGGAACGGAGGGACCCCATGCGTGTTCCCAAATTCTGGCTCGTAACAAAGAAAAAGATCTGCCCGTATTGACTTTACACCCCAGACTTATGCTGAAAGGGGGGGGGGGGGGGGGGGGGTGTGGCTGCTGGAAAAACGTATATACACAGGCGCGTACGCAGGATTTTTTCAAGGGGGGCCGGGGGGGGGGGGGTTTAACATTTATAAATCGGCCGAAAATTTCGCAATGACTCGGCCAGCCGCTGAATAAGCGGGAGGGGGGGGGGGGGGGGGGGGGGTAAGAGGATAATTTTTTTTTTTGTCTCAAAATTTGAAAATTTGACATTTTGATCCGTGGGGGGGGGGGGTAAGGTCAGCCATTGAAAAAAAAATTGCAAAGGGGGGGGGGGGGTTTACACACAGAAAAATACCAAAGGGGGGGTTTAACCCCCCCCCCCCCCCCCCGTGTACCCGCCTGCATATGCGTACCCTAAAAAACACTGAGGGGGGGGGGGGGGCGGGTTGATTTCATCCTTGAGGGGAAAATGATTGAAATTGCGATTAAATTGTGAGGTTAGAATTCGATGCTATTCAGATACCATGATACCTGAATGAGTGTATTTCACATCAGCATGTTTGTGCTGTTTGTGCGCAGAAGAAAAAAGTCACAATTTAGATTTTATTCACGTTCTATTAATTCATATCAGAGATCTTGATTCCTCGTTATTTTTAAATTTATTTTTTGTTAATCCAAGGGATCACATGCAGTTCTATAAGTGCTCCAACCAATGGTGCATTGAGCTGTACGGATGGTTCCTACTATGGCAGTTCATGTACCTTCTCCTGCGACTATGGTTACACTCTTGAAGATTCACAGCCAACATGGACCTGCTTGCAGAGTGGCCAGTGGTCCAATGGGCACGCTGCGGCATCACGTTGTGTTGGTAATAAAGAATATTTTGCAAAATTACATACAAATTAATTTTTCCCTGCTCAATCACAGCAAGCATAGATTGTCTAGTAATCACACGATTCTAGAGGTGTCCTGGTATAGTTGTTCATTTACTTGACTCTTAATCCAAGGGTCGAGAATGCGACTCTCAGCCCAGCAGTTGCGTCCTCTAGCTGGCAAGACATTATCCACATTTGCCGCCTTCCGCCCTGGTTTAAAACTGTAAACGGGTACCTGGCTATGGATAATGGAAGGGGGTAATATTTAAAGCTGATGAGACTCTCTGGTTGAACAATTTTATACTAATTATTATAATTTTTATTGTTATTATTGTTATTATTATTATGATTATTATTATCATTATTATTACTATTTTATTACTACTTTTATTGGTGTTAATTTGTTGCTTTGTTGTAAGCATTTTCTTAAAATCATTATTATTACTCTTTAAATTTCTTATTCTAGTACTAGTATTCCTGCCAAAAAAGGCAACATTCCATTTCATTTTCAGAATAAGTTATGTCATAAACTCTAAACATAATTATGAGCTAATCCTTGCTTCATTGTTCTTTTTGTTAAGACACTTTGCCGCCGACATTTACACAATGCCCTATGGCGCAAACCGTCTATGCCCCAGCTCTTGAAACATCTGCCAGTGTCTGGTGGTCAGTGCCAGTTGCCTCAGATAACTCTGGGGATGTTGTCAGTCTTGTCAGGGACCAAGGACCTGCACCTGGGAGTACATTTGGAGTTGGTAATCAATTCATTCTGTACAAGGTCACCGACAGTGCGGGAAATGAGGCAGTTTGCTCATTTTCAGTTACAGTGAAAGGTAGGAATTTGACTTAAAACCAGCTTACTTAAACTTGAAAATAACAATAATAAAAGAATAATAGCAGTTTCTTTAATATTGGAAAGGGAGATTATTTTTCAATTAAAAATGCTTGGTTATCATTAGATTTTCAATCCAGGAGATAACAAAGATTGACGAAAATCACTTGCAGAACAACCAGTACACAGATAAGGGACCACACACACACACACATGTAGCTTATTCCCCCCCCCCCATTTTGAATATATGGAAGCATGCAAGAACAAGCTTTAAGCATGTCTTCTCTTAAAGCATTCCGTACGTTAATAAAATGAATGAGAAAGCTTATAAATTTTGATCACCTTTACCAATAGGAAAAAAAGGACAACAGTGACAACAATACGTTGGAATATACTTGTGTTGATGCATATCTTTTCTTTTTCTCAGTTGTGTATTGTCCTGCCCAGGCTGCCGATCCACCTCTTCAGATTAGCTGCCCACAGAGTAACATCCGTGGTTCAGAGTGTACCTTTAGTTGCAGTACAGGATACATTCTTCAAGGCAGGCAGAACCTTCAATGTATGATGGTAGATTCGACAGGGGTATGGAGCAGTGATACACCGTCTTGCCAAAGTAAGCAAAAGCTAAAAAATATCAATCTGACAAATGTCATCTGTATTTTTTTTACGGAAGGGGGTATTTGGTACTTAAAACATTAATTTTCAATTTGAAGAGAACTTACATATATGCAGGACAAGGAGAAAAAATGTCGATTTTCATCACATATTGCATTGTACACAAGAGAAAATATATTCCCATTTTTGTCTTGCCTGCGTAGCAAAAAGCGAGACATAGGCGCCGCTTTTCCGGTGACGGCGACGGCGGTGGTGGCGGCGCAAACATCAAAAACTTAACCTAAGGTTAAGTTTTTGAATTTGATATAATTAGTATAAATATAAAAAGTATAAGTTCTTAGTCAATAAAACTTTGACTATAGGGTAATCAAGTCTCCCCAATCATGTGAGTAGAATTTCAGGTCACTAAGTTAAGGTCAAAGGTCATTTAAGGTCAACAAACTTAGACTTTGTTGTGGCATCAACATCAAGATTTTACCAATTTTGTTTCTGATTGTCTCATATGATAGAGCTAGGAGGGGGATTTAAAATTTCTAAACAGAATCGTGAAATTCATTATCTATGCTAATTTATGCAAATTTATTCGAAATCACAAAAAAGGCTTCTTCTTCTTCATTTCTCGACCGATTTTAATTTGGTTTGCTTTTAGAGCTAACTTTGGTACTCTAAACTTCTACACAGAATTTTGAAATTGTTCTCCATTAATTAATTATGGTAATTTATGCAAATTTATTCCAAAAATAACAAAAATTGCTTCTTTTCCCTCATTTCTTGACAGATTTTGTTTTGGTTTGCCTTATCTGGTACAGCTAAATTTGGAACACTAAACTTGTACACAGAATTGTGAGATTTTGGTCCATTGGTTATTTATGGTACTTTATGCAAATGAAATGAAATTATGTCCCTTCCAGGGCATCAAATTTTTATTTTTTGACCAGTTCAAAAGTGTACCACATAAAATTTACGGTATTCGTTGTTGCAAGATGCGGATGAGCGCTACGTCATTGACGTTCTGGTTTATCATATTGAATTGCGTTATGCAGGCGAGACCGCCGAGAGCGTTTCCCTTGTTATATTTATGTAAGTATATTTTTGGGTACGATAATGTACTAGAAGCTCTTTTTCCTAAAAAATAATCTAGTATTGCTACTACTAAATCATGACCTGGTTCTCTAAAGTTATTATGGTTCGAGGAGAATTATCCCCTGGACGATCACACCCCTTTCCGAGGACAATAACCCCCCTCCCCAGAAAATTATCCTCCTGGATAATAAATCCGCCCACCCCCCCCCCCCTCCTCCCCCTCCCCCCCCCCCCGAGGACAATTACCCCCCCCCCTTCCCCCCCCCCCCCCCCCCAAAAAAAAAAAAAAAAATTAAAACCAACTTATTATCAGGGTGGACTTTAATGAACAGGGAGTAATTTTCTGAGGGGTAAATATTTTCGGGGGGGGGGGGGCGTGTTTGTCCTTGGGGGTAGATTCTGGGGGTAATTTTCCAGTGGGTGATTGTCCAGGGGGGTAATTGTCCTGATACGCCTTTGTTTGCCTAATGAGATTATCTGTCTGTTATATGTGTCACGAACCAGTTCTCCAGTGTGAAGACCTGTCTTTGGAAAATGGTGGAATGACAGGAGATTGCAGCAGGGATTACGGATCTAGCTGCCATTTTGAGTGCGATGCAGGATATGAAATCAACACGGACGTTCTTACATGCGTTGCTCAGCCTGGAAGCTCTTCTGCAGTTTGGCAAGGGGATTCACCAACATGTACTAGTAAGTTTGGTTTTGTTTGAATGTAGGCTCTGTATCTATTTAAATATTAATCAAGGGTTAACCATTTCTTGTATCCCAATTAATCCAGATAGAACGTCTTTTGGTACCGATTTAATAATAATGATAATTGTATCCCTCTCTTTAGTATATTGAATAAATCTAGTCATCTGATTGGTCAACATTGATTTTAACCATGCCCGTAAAGAAACAAACAATTGCCTGTTACTCAGATGGAGGGCAATAGTTAAAGAGAAAGATGCTCATTGCCCCGGGAGCATAGTTAATTTTTCCCCATGGTTTACGTGTAAAAAGCTTCTTTATGCGAGCGCGGATACCATACAGTAAAGTGTGTGTGTGATTCCTGAATGATCGTAACATTCAGGCAACTTTCCAGCAAAGATTTACAGACAATGTCTCAGATTTTCTGTGATGTTTTACTTTTAACCAATCTTCACTCAAGGAAAAGGAATTTGGTATATAAAAGATGTATGGACTGCTTTAATATTTGAATCATGGCTGTTTCTTTACTAGCTCTCAGGACGTTACATCCTGCTATGACCCCTCAGCGCGCCCCCCTCTTCTTCGATCCCCACCAAACACAGACAGCTAGACAATAATTCGCATCAATTAAAATTGATTCTTCATTGATCAATCCATACTAGGAATCCAATGCAGGAAACCTCAGTTAACAACTGCCCTGCAAATATCTATCACTTCCGAATGCCCTTCTGGGAGCCTCGTGCCATCGGGTAACCCTTGCAACTTTCTCTGCTCAGAAGGGTACTTCCTACAGGGTGTTGAAGATTCGACATGCAGAGAAGACGGCTCGTGGAGCAATGAATTTCCCACTTGCCATTGTAAGTGTATGAAATTAAGAATATTTTCCAATTAAGTCTTTGTTGACATGACTATTCTTCCAATGATGTCGTAGCTGTCGTTTCAAAGAAGATAGTTCCAAGGGGTATCATGCTGTCTATAGTTTCAGCCTCTGATGCAGAACAAGATATTTAACTAACTTGAATTGACAAAAGACTTTAAGGTAAAGACCAGTTATGGTCATGCGATTGCATTGTGAAAGAAACGTTGTGGAATCGATCAGAAAAGGTTGATCATCTAGCATATAAGTATTGGTGTGTACTGCAAGGTTCTGGAATCATCAAAATGATAAGAAATTTGGACCAGTCTTCGTAAAGTTACAAGCACTGTACACAGAAAGATGTATATGGGACTATACGCACATGTGCGCGACACGTGCAATCTCTCACAGACCATGTAGATAAACTAATTTACCAAACATATCAATTAATAGGCGGTTTCCCGGCAAATTTGTTATCATCATGTATTAGTCAAAACATATTCTTTCACATGATTGGTAATAAGAGCTTCCATTTCATTTTTTGAATTGGGGCGTTTCCAATACTGGTCTTTACCTTTAACTCCGTTTTGTTGACAATCAGCCATGCATGAAGTCTTTCGTCTATGGCTGATCGTCAACAAAAGGGAGTTAATTCTTTTGTCAATTCTGTTTGTTGCTACGGCAGGCAGCCAGTGAAAACGAATTTGTTTAATAATTTATGGAAATGCAAGCATTACTTTTAAAAACAAACAGAACTTGTTATTCCTAGCTCATTTTTCCTGATTGAGGTGTCATATGAAAGGGCAGGAACTGCACTTTCTAGAAATGTGATTTTCTCTTTGAAATTCAGATACCCTTCGCCAAATGACTTTTTGGTTCCCTCTCTTCAAATTGATTTTAATCACTCATGCATGAAATATGCATATGTGAGTTGCAGCAAATGAAAGAAGAGGATCTAAGCTTTACAAATATGTGTCATTTATTAATTGTAATTGTGACTAAGTTATGATAATACATCAATAATTCTCGGTTTCTTTCTTCCTTAGATGCACTGCATAGAACAAGCAATTTTGTTATCCCACGTGTTTGTAATTCTGAGTTAAATACATTTAAAAAGTTATTTTTTCAATAAAAATGATATGTTGTTTTTTGAATGCCTGTCATTCTACCTCCTCATCGGTTTAAAATGCAATAGAAATTGCTGGTAAGAATAAGCATATAGGTGCACTTTTTCACATAACTGTCGTTAGGTTTTGAATTATTTTTGTGTGATCTTCTTACAGTAATCACCTGTGAAGTTGCAGATGTACCTGTCCCAATGTTCGCTGTGAAACAAGGCTGCACAACCGGAGAAGTAAATTACGGAACAGTTTGCACACTTTCTTGTCAAGAAGGTTATGAAGCTACCAAATCTAGTGAAATGACATGCTTGGACGATGGAAATGGTGTTGGGACTTGGTCTGGGGATTCCATCGAATGCACCTGTAAGATTTGATTCTGTTTTTATGCCTCCATTACGAAGTAGCCGGAGGCATTATGTTTTTGGGTTGTCCATCCGTACGTCCCGTCCGTACGTCCCGTTCTCGTGATCGCGTTATCTCAAGAACCGACTGATGGATTCCCGCCAAACTTAGGTCATTTATGTATCTTGCAGAGCCAATGAACTGATTAGATGTTGGGGTCGCGAGATCCAAGGTCAAAGGTCACAGGACTCATTATGTATGCAAAATAGCTCGTGATCGCGTTATCTCAAGAACCCTTCGATGGATTCCCGCCAAACTTGGGTCATGTATGTATCTTGTAGAGCCAATGAACTGATTAGATTTTTGGGTCGCGAGATCCAAGGTCAAAGGTCACAGGGTTCATTATGTTTGCAAAATAGCTCGTGATCGCGTTATCTCAAGAACCCTTTGATGGATTCCCGCCAAACTTTGGTCATGTATGTACTTTGCAGAGCCGATGAATTGATTAGATTTTGGGGTCACGAGCTCAAAGGTCAAAGTTCACAGGGCTCATTATGTATGCAAAAATAGCTTGTGATCCTGTTATCTCAAGAACCGATTGATGGATTCCTGCCAAACTCAGGACATGTATGTATCTTGGGTGAGGCAATGAACCGATTAGATTCTGGGGTCATGAGGTCAAGGTCAAAGGTCATGGGGCTCATTGTGTATTCAAAAATAGCTTGTGATTGCATTAACATTAGAACCGATGGATGGATTACCATCAAACTCAAGACATACTGTACATTGTATGTATCTTGCATTTGGGGTCATGAGGTCAAAGATTAAACGGTCATACATCTATATGAGAAATAGCTTGTAATCTCGATATTCTGAGAACCTGTTAATGGATTGCAACCCAACTTGAATTTGAAAAATTTCTTCTGTTTTGGTTTGTAAAATTGCTCTATGACGGAGGCATCACTTTCGACTGCGCGCAGTCGAAGTTCCATCTAGTTTTTTTTATATAGGTGGTATAATAAGAAGACAATTTTCAGAAGGCATTGAAATACAAGAGTTGGAACGATGAATTATTAATTAGAAGGATGTAATGATTATCTTAGAATAAATAAAAACTAATAAAGTTTTATTATTTCCCACCATGAATGATGATGATTATGTTTAGCGCCATATGTCCCGGGATGAAAACAGCTGAAGCCTTAACTAGAACATTCCAAATTACCCAATGACAAACAACAATAACAGCGATTTAAAGAATGAAGTGTAGAAGTAGAACACCTCAGGTAAATTCATAATTAGCTCATCATCATCATCTATATTATTTTTATTTGTATTAAACTCAACATTTTCCCTCTTAAGAAAGGATACTTACTTTTGCACCATGATAACACTGCCTCCCTCCACTAGGTTTATAATTTTTGTTTTTCTTCTACATATTCTATTAATTCATTTGTTAAAAACAAGGAACAGTTTTATACAGTGGTCCATAAAAACGTTTTTACTGCCACTTTGTATTAATCATGGGATGGATAGGCTAAAGGCTCCAAGATTAACCGTATAACATTTGGAAAAAGTAATGTTAGAACAATGAATAAAAGTACAATTGAATATAATCTGACTAAATGAAAGCAATATTATGGTTTCTATCATTGGCAGTTGTCACCTGTCCAGTCCCATCACCAGAGTCAGTGGGCACGACGGTAAGCTGTTCGTACTCTGGGATATCTACCGCAGCCTCGTTGAAACAAAACTACTCTGCCTCATGTACATATGGATGTGGAAATGGTTATTCAATGACTGAGGGCACATCACAGAGAGTCTGTTTGGCAAGTGGTGATTGGAATGGAATCCCAGTTATATGCGAAGGTGGGTTTACTCAAAGGACTTCTAAAATGTAATGGATCTTCACTTCGACTTTCAAGCCAAATTAATAGGCCTAGAATGACATCGTACGGTAATACAAAAGCTTCATGCCATAGTCATGATGGCCGCCTATTTATTTTATTGTTGTACGATATTGTGCAATTGCGAATAATAGCCAGTTGAGGTATCAGGAGATAATTGTTGATAGCTGGTCACACCAGCAGTCCCTATGCTACAAATAGTCCAAAATAGTCCTTAATAGTTTTTTTCAAATTGGTGTGCTTCTACTCAGATGATCTTATGTATCAATAATCTATACAAATAAATAAAAGTAACTAAGCATTTCCAACATATAAAACGTAGGAAATTTTTGGAACACACAAGGTAGATAATATTGAAGTTTAAACTAATTTTAGAGAAAGGTGCCATTGCACAACATGCAAGCAAATAGATCTGAAAGCAAGCCTGACCTTACCAGAAGAAAACAAATATATATATATATATACAAAAATATAAATGAAAAGGAAACAGCTCCAGGTGGTACTGTACTGTTTGTTTCACTTAAATGCAACCTTTCGTACACAGTGATGACCCTTTTTTGGGGAATGAAAATATCAAATGCAACATTTTTGCTACCATTTAATCACAGTGGCTTTGCTGTTCTGTCGATCCCATTGTCAATGCTCGAAATAGTCCCCTAATGGCACAGGAAGTTGACACTGAAGTGCAATCAGACAGAGAACTTTTCCACGTTTCGAGGATCAACTCATATCAACCACGGGATCAACAGAGCAGCAAAGTTACTGATTATAGGCTACATTTTTGCTGAATTGCATAGCTGTCTTTTTTATTTTTGACAACAGATTTAACCTCACCCGACCTGTCTTGCCATGATGATGTTGATCTGATAGCTGACCCCGGGATGTTGTCGGCTGAGATACCCTGGGGCCAATGGGAGCCTCTCATGGTATGTATCCTTTCTGATACCTTTGGATGGATTATGGAGACCATAATAGCACAATAACTGTGATAAAGAGATGTGATGATCTCTTTCTCCAGCAGACAAGAATAAATTTCTGTGTTGTGGAGGGAAGGGTGTGAAGCAAGCATCGACACCCTACCCATATTTATATTGCATTATTGCGTAATTCAGAAGCTATATCATAACACATAAAAAGGAAAAGGTTTTAGGGTCTATACTCCCACTTTTGTTTTAAGAAATCTGATCTTTTGCTATAGTGATTAATCAGTCAATCAAATAATGTCAAGTTTTCGTAAACTTATACATTGAAAATCCTTATTTTTAGGCCTCTGGATACTAAAAGTGCCAAAACCCATGAGCTTACAGGGATTCTGCCCCCTGGACCCCTGCCTTTATACGCTCCGCTCACGTTGCTTGCTTTCCTCTAATGGACTCTTGTTTGATAAACTGAATTCTTCCTGCTGTTTTCTTTTACTCAGAGGCACTACTATTATAATGCATTTGAATCCGATAGAGTTACAGCGTTGGAGATTCCTGAAGTATTTTTGTAGATCAGGACCCGTCTTATAAAAAGTCCTACAATCAATCGCAACTTTGTTGTCTCCTGTCTCTAATGTACATCGCTGCGATGTTAATCAATCGCAAATAAGTTGTGATTGTTATCAACTCTTTATGATAAGACAGGGCCCTGAAGATTCAAACGATTCCATTGAATATTTTTCGCCTCCCACAGGCCTCGGATTTTGGTACAAGTATTGAAGCAACTCTTTTCAGTATTAACTCTGATGAAGTAGGTCCCAATCGGCCATCCTCGTTCTCAGAAGGTAGTCATACTCTAGGCTATCGGGCAGTGGACTCATCTGGAAATGAGGTCCATTGCTCATTTACTGTAACTGTAAGAGGTATGTTGTTGTCTAAACCCATTTGTTAAAAAGTGATATATGATATGTATCCTATAAACTCACAAATTCAATGCATATTTCTTAAAAGCTAGTTGAATGGAGTATGTAGTACTTAGAGGCTCCGATACATTATATATATATATATATATATATATATATACATCTATTTAGGGGGAGGGGGGGGGGGGGTTGGCGGGTTGGTTGTTGTTGATGTTAAATACAATAAAATAAGCAGTCAATATATGTTTTATACACGTGCCGATTCTCGAAAACAGACGCGTAAAAGAATAAGTTTTTCAAAATTATTTTATTCTAGGGGAAATTTATAGGTGAGAGAGCACTGCACGTGTGTAACTGTGCGTGTATGTGTGTGTGTGTATCCATTATTCACTGTACACGCAATCATGTATTTTGTATTTGCAAGTAGATATATTCCTGGTCAATATTTTTTGCTATATTTTCCAGCAATTTTGACCTATCTAGAGGCCTAGAATCTTCTTAGTATACAAATGTTACCATATATATCTCTAATGTAATTTGGGGGCTAGGACAAAAGCTATGCCTGCAATATTTCAAATTATCCTAAAAAGTATATGTACGAGTGATATTCAAGAATCAGAATATTAATTCAAACAGAAAATCATAAGAATATGTACAATGCACATTAGCAATACCTTCTCAATACAGTTCTGAGATGTCAGCCGCTGCCCATACCTGACAGAAGCATCGTATCATTAGTGTCAGGATTGGGATCGTGTCATGGAGGAGTTGTGTATGGATCGGTGTGTACTATCAGCTGTGAGCTGGGCTATACCTTGTCAACTGGGGGCGGGTCTCTGAACAGAAGTTGTGACATTTCAGAATCTGATCAGAGCAACGATGGAACATGGAGTGGTCCTGATCCAGTCTGTGATGGTAGGAGTTGAATTATCATTCATTTGAGGAAACAATCTTACTCTCTCTGATGTTATCATTGTGTGCTATGCTATCGATCGTTCCTAATGTACATTTTATTCTAGTTGTATCAGTGTTCTGTTACTGTAAATGCTCTCAGTATAAAGAAACATGTTATAGTTGTAACTACTAGTCATGTTCCATTTTTCAATCATGTTTGATATCTACAGACCATTCAAAATCTTGGGTTTTTTAAAAAACTTTGTTTCTCATTCTTTGGGGCATACATTGATAAAGTTTTCCTTAATTTTTTTTGAGTTTTTTAATATTTAAACATGAAAAACAAAAAACACCTTAGACTTGACACATCCAAATGTAGGTAAACAAACACACACACACACACACACACACACACTTGTGCATACACGCACACTACCAAACTCAATAATTTCTATCATTAGTCTTCTAAAATTAGCATCAAGCTTTGCCATTCTTAGAAAAGGCTCCTAATTGCAACTAAACGTCTTGCTGAGGGTATATTGAAATAATAAAAGTAATTTACCTGGATATAATGAGCTAATGACTTCATGCTGATCAAAGCTTGTATTAAACAGTTCTGAATGCAAATATTATAATTCATTTCCTCTCTTTAGTTGTCAACTGCAATGTGCCCGCAGTTACCAATGGTTTATCAGATTGTCAGTCTTCTGCTGTACCGTACCTGACGCCCTGTCAGTTTGATTGCCAGCCAGGTTATAGGGCACCTTCAAGAGAGGAGAGTACTTCGCGTACATGTCAAGCAGACTACCATTGGAGTGGAAGTGATTTCCAGTGTACTGGTAAATTTAAAAAACAAATTCAGACTAGATCCTTTTATTTCTACTTTTTGAATATCATTATAAGGATAAACCTTAAGAACCTAATACATTGTCCAGCTGACATTTAATTGCAGATTTTTTGTTTTCATGGGGATAAGACACCAATAATTCCATCCATTTCCTATACTGAATTAGGGTAGAAGCATAAAGGAGATACAATCGCATTTGGTCTTTTTTTGTTGTTAACCGCATTAACATTTTAATGTACCATTATGGCTTGTATTGTAATGAGGCTTATTAAAAGAAGGTAGTAAATTAAAAGAATGGCTAAGAAATCTTTACGCAATAGGGTCAGTGGAAATAGAGCAATATATCACACAACTTCTGAAGGTAATAGTATTTCAACCTGAATTCCATGCATTTTCTTCCCCTTTTTTTTCGGTCGTAATATTATAAATCATGTTGAAGTGTGGTTTCCGAAATCATGAAACAAAGTATCGAAATGCGTCTCTAAAAATTAAAATATCGCCCTATAGACTTATCGCTCATGGAATTATTGTGTTTTTCCAAAGTCATCTTTTTTAATCGATTTTCTTGATGAATTCCTTTTCGTTTCATTAGAAATAGTGCAGTGTCCGGCTAGATTCAGCATCTCATATGGCAGTGTAGAGCCAAGTGAATGTTCATCATTCGACTTTGTTCCATTTGGGTTTAACTGTGAGTTTACCTGCGGCACTGGCTTCGTAGTACAGGGTCTCAGAAAATTGGTTTGTAATACAAATGGACAGTGGAATCAGAATGCTCCTCCGACTTGCGAAGGTATGTCAACATTTACTCTTATCATAGTTCTTTGTTTATTTTTCTCAGCATGTACATCGAGAAGCAAGGAGCATACATCTGTATCCCGCACATATGCCTATCACAGATGGAATTCTGAACCTTTTGGTTAAATTTGGTACTGTACATTGCGACATTTTGATAATGTTCACAGATTACCCTCAACGTATATTGCAGTATCTCAAACCAATCTCATGAGCCACCATGAGTTTTATGCACAATTAGTATGTATATTATCTCACCGTCTAAAGTGCAACAATCCAATTTTTTCACTATATAAATATTCCATGCATTCCTGTCAAAGAACTCATGTTTAATTTGCAACATTTTTTAACTCGCCTTTCTCACATGTTTTCGTACATAAATTTTTGACCACGTCCCCTCATATTTTCCTTTTCAATTATAATTGTTCTTTGATTATATTGTTTAATGGGAATGGCTTTATTATTTTCTGTTACGTTTTACTTAGATGTTGAACCTCCCATTTTTGATGTCACCTGTCCTCTTAATATCAACATGGATGCTAAATTTGCAAGCACAACTGCTGAAATTGACTTCCATGAACCCACTTCAAGTGACAACTCTGGAATTGTGAACATTACTCGGTACATCATAAGCATTTGCCAAGTACTTCTGCTGCTGCTGATTTTACTACAACTATAACTACTACTACTACTGCTACTACTACTACTACTACTACTACTACTTCAACTACTACTACCCCACTATCACCACTGCTAATACCACCACCAACACCTAACCACTCCTCCTTTTCCTCTTCCTCCTTTTCCTCCTACTACTATTTCTACTACTGCTGCTACTACTTTTACTATTTGTATAACAGCTACTACTACTACCACCACCATTCCTTCTTCTCATCATAATACTATTACTTCTACTTCTACTATACTACTTCTACTGTTACTCTAAGTGTTACTAATACTTCTACTACCTTTATTTTTCTACTATTAATTTTACTATTACTACTACTTCTACTACATGTACTACTTCTACTACTACTACTACTTATTATTGTACTACAGTCTACGTCTTCTACTAATACTTACAGCTTACACATTTAGATGAATCTGCTTTGATTGATCACTCCCTCTCTCTCTTTCTTTCTCTGTCCTCTCTCTTTCTCTCTACTCCTTTGTCTCTCTCTATACCCATTTCTCTCTCTCTCTCTCCCTCTCTCGCTCTTTCACTACCTCTCTGTATGGCTTTCTCTCTCTCTATCAGTTCCCCGTTTGGTAAAATTCAGTCATTTTTTTTCTGATTAAACAAAATTATTGAAAAAATACATAAGAAGTAAACATGTAATAAACGCAAGTCCATCTTTCTTATTCCTGTTACCTTATTACATGAAGGCCTATCACTTTAACCATATTGTTTTTCTTGTTGCTGAAATAGTAATCGTAATACAGTTTTCTTATTTCAAAATAAAGTGTAAAGATAGATGATTCATATTACTTCGCTGTTAATGACGCATATATACATTGATATCATTCTGTAACATTTGTTTTATAAAAAAGACTGGATTCTGAATATATTCCTGGAAGTGAATTTCCAGAAGGTGATACAAGAATTCGATACCAGGCAACCGATGCTTTTGGACTAAGTTCATTCTGTGACGTTGTCATTTCAGTCAAAGGTAAGTGTATATAAGGAGAAAAAACGGAATAAGAGAAAGAAGGGTAAAGGCAGTATCAATACGTATTACAATTACAAGTGTATGGGAAATGCATTGTGGTTTACAAGACCGAAGCGTGATTGCGTGCAATGTGAATGCATACATGTACATGTTTTTGTTTAAAAGAGAAAGTGAAACGATTGAAAATAAATGTGCATGCTAAATTCATTATTGAAAATGTGTTGTTGATAATTTCAGTTCACCGCTGCTCCGTCCAACAGCCGCCCCTTCACGGGGCCGTTACTGGCTGCATTGACTCTTTCATTGGAAGTCGGTGCTTGTTTTCATGTGATGTCGGCTATAATCTGGAGGGTACATCAAGTTTGCAGTGTGAACTAACCTCTGATGGGACGTCTGCATGGAATGACGTCACTCCAACTTGCCTCCGTAAGTTTGTAAGAATTTTCATTCGTAATAATAAAATGTAGGGCAAAGACATGATGACTTGTTTGCAATGTCCTAGTCATTGACATTGATAGTAGTGATGATGAATAATATTTTGCATATTTATTGTATATTTTTTAAATGATTAAGTTGATACTACAAATATTCTAACGTACCATTCATTCACCCTTCATACCTAATTCTGAAATAGAGTTTTTGAATATCCATGCAATTGCCTGCAATGTTAAAGGAGAAAGTCTTTGTCATTATACAGTTTTGTGCTGTTACCTTTGCTGGAATTATCTGGTCAATACATATTGATACTTAAAGAGTTTCCCTGTTACCCTATCATGCCAAATGAACAGCTCAGCAGTGTCCAGCTCTGCAAATTCCTGAGTTTGCCTCTCTTTCTGGCTGTGATAGTTCACCCGTGCCTTTTGGATCCATTTGTACATTCTCCTGTGAACTGGGTTATACTGGCATTGGAGAAAGCATGAAGACCTGTCTGGAAGAAGAGGTGTGGTCTAGTACAAGCTTTGTATGTGAAAGTAAGTCATCAGCTCAATTCCCTTCATTGAAAATAGAAACTAGCCTGTATAGCCTACATTAGATTGGAATAATCCTACCATTCCTGAGAGTGTTAACTAACTCTTCCTTTTAAACAAAATGTCATAGTAATAGAAACATTATGCTTCTTTTGCTCTTTAATTTGCATAACTTTTCTTGGCAATTATTAATTTTTGCGCAATAAAACAGAATGTCATTTAGATCAGTGATTTTAAATTGTTTTCAAGCAATTTGTTTTATTCATATGATATGATCTTATTTGTTTATTGGTGAAGTAAATAATACAACTTTGTTCATTCCATTTGAAGGATTACCATGTGAAGCGCTGTCTGAACCATCATCCATTACGATCTCACCAGAGACTTGTTTGTCCGGTCCACGCTTTGGTGATGTCTGTACGCTGGAATGTGAGCAGTTTGGTTTCAAGATAACCCCTCCTGATTTGAAGGAGGTTACTTGTTCCAGTGATCAGACCTGGACTGGCGAGGTAGAACAAGCTCAATGTGTGGGTAAGAATCTACATACAAATGAGGTCTGCTCGTATATATTGTTTAATTGTCGAAAAGAGTGTTTTCTACTTGACTGTAAAGTTTACATTCATACTTACACTACGTAAACATTTGTCATAGTAGTACGATGCTTTATTTAGAATTATTTTGATAGGCTTTTTTTTTATAAAGATAATAAGATATATGTGAATTTTCAACATAAAGGAATTTGAAAAACCAGTCAATTTTTTCCAGAGCTGCATGTATCAGTGTAAAGATAATAATAATTCTCATTCTTAACCTTGTTTTTTTTTGTGGAAGTAAATTTTTAAAATTCTTTAGAAAAATACAATTGTCAATAGAATTTGAAAAATCTGTACATGTTAATCAATTGCCTTCATAATATGTGGCATGAGGCATATGAATGTGATGTTTATGGATACCTTATTGTCACCTTTTGTTTCAGATTTACAGCTACCAGTATTTGAGGACTGTCCGTCAGATTTTGTTGCCTTTGCGAACAAAAGCTCCAATAAGGCCAATGTGGAGTGGTCAGCAGTCGCTACGGACAATGACCCATCACAAGAACCGGTAGTGACCTGTAATCTCCAACCTGGGATCTTGCCCATAGGTGTACATGTCGTCATATGCAGTGCTCAGGATGAAGCTGATAACGAGGCTACCTGTCAATTCAGAGTGGAGGTCAAAGGTAGGATTCTTCATATACAACAGGGCCCAGTGGCGTAGCAAGGGTCCAGCCGTAGAAGGGAAAATGTTTCATGGTGTGGGGGAGGGATGGGGTGGTGTGTGTCGACGAATACAATGAAAACTATTCAAGTCAATAGAAGCAGGAGGTAGCCCTTTAATGGTCTTTTCTCGTCCTTCTATCTGTATCAGTCTGTTGCTCTCTCGTTTTTCTGTATATTTGTCATGTCGCTATCATCCCCAGCTAGACCGCAGACTTAGCCTAACACATAGGCTATACACCCCGACAACTACCCACAAAACATCTACACCCCAAAAGTTATCCCCAAGAAGCCTTTACAAATCCCAGAAAATATCTACTGCTGTAAATAAGCTTTAACTAATGTTGACAAAACTGGGCTCAATTTCTATGAGCGTGAAAAGATTAAATGAAAAGCAAGAATGAATATGCTTATATGTGAGCAATTGGTAATGAGGATTAATGCCTGACCGTCACCAAATAATGGTACGAACGCATTGATTTAGTTTCGAGGCCGGGACCTCCCATTTATGAGACGACTGGTCCACTACGCGCCTTTACTTGTTGTTAGTATCATTATGAAGATGATTATTATCATTATTTCATTGTTGACATGACTGTAATCTTCTTTTTAAGCACGTCAGTGTCAACCCCTGATTCCTCCTGCACATGGCATTATAGTGGATGAATGCGACAACACCCACGGCTCTACATGCCACATATCATGCTCTGAAGGGTACCGTTTGGTGGGCTCCCCAATCGGACACTGCGAGTTCGATGGATCTTCGCAGATGTTATGGGAATTCGAGGAAGAGGCTTCTTGTGAAGGTACCGTAAACAAAATGAAAACAAAATGAGTGTTTTTGTCGGACCCTAGCTGGGTGTAAAGCTTTGTGCTCCCCGGCTAACACTTCTTTTATTATAGTCATAATGCCACTACTATTAACCCTTACTGTACTGGGGGGGGGGGGGCCTGAGAGGCCCCCCTCGACATTTTTGGAGATCGCGCCGCAACCGCTTGGAATTTTGAATTGTCGTTTCATGACATTTTTCCCTCAAGTCTTGCGCACATTTTGATACCATTTTCGTCAAAATCGGATATACCTGTAAGGTGTTACATAACAATTAGTATGTGCATGTCATCAAAAAAGTGCTATAATTGCATATATTCATATACAAAGCAGAAATGTGAAGATATGAATTGATATCAAATTGCTTTTATATGTTTCTCAGAGTAACTTGATGTATTCTAGGACAAAAGAATACATTAGAAATAAAACAATAGATATAATAAGAAATAAAAAAACAATAAAATACATAAGAAAATAATTAGTTGAAAATCGCATCAAATTTGCATAAATTATCATTATTAATTACATCAAAGAACTATTTTGTGTTAGAAAAGAAGTTTCATATGAATAATGAGTTTCAACATTCAAAAAGTGGAGTCTGACAATTTTTGTAATGATTCTAGTTCCCTAAATATAGTTCCAGATTTGATATTCATAAATGCGTAATTTGCGTATTCATAATTTATGCAAATTAACCTATGCATTTTCAAATATCATAAAAATAATGAAACCTCATGAATTTGAGATGGAGGAAACATTTATTCAATACATTTTTAAGATTCTTCACAAGTCTATGGACAAATATGTAGAGTTTTCTGTAAAATGCATAAAATTAACATTTTGCATAATTAATTAGGCTATAACGACAAAAATTTGCATATTAGGAAAAAACTAATTATACCATCTTGTTCTGTACGTAAATATCTACAAATATGCAAATTTTCGTGTTCATCGGACATTCGACGACCGAGATCATAGGGGGGGGGGGGGGCCTCCCAGGCCCGCCCCCCCCCCCCAGTCAGAGGGTGCTCAAAATAGCCCAATACAGTAAGGGTTAAAGGGTAATAACGGTTTCACACGTTATGATTTTCAGAAATCAGCTGTGCCCCACTCGTTGTTCCTGATTTAATCCGAGTTTCTCCGGAAGCGTGCTCTGAGTCGGACATTGTGCCCCGAGGGACAGTCTGTACTTTGAACTGTAATTTCGACCTGACGTTAGAAGGCGACAAAGAACCTCTGACTTGCCTCAATACGGGAGAGTGGGATCGTGAACTCAATACAGTGTCACTCCTGTGCAAGGGTAAGTCTAAAGTCACACTAGAGTACCTACCAGTCTTCAAGCAAAGACAACCGATAATACTGCAACCAGTGAAAACAATAGCTGATTAAACCCCATAAATTTAAAAGAAATTAGACTCTGGGACTTGGTGCCGATGGGTTAATCACAGGTAACATACTGCTTTATTCATTAAAACTTGAAGGTTTGTGTGAAATTACCTGGGTGAAGGTTAACATACATACGCTAACTGGTTGCAGAATTTTGGCCACTGTTTGTCATATTCTGTGCCTCTGTGGCGATTAATAACTGCGCAGAAGTTTTTGCACTATCCAAAGACATAGCAAAGGTCAAATAACAGTTGTAGTTTGTTGGCGATCGATGGTCTATTGGCTGCCAATTATATAGTTACAAATTGGTTGCCGATGAGCTGCTGAAGGACATCGACCCAAAATAAATATTCGGCTACTACCCGCAGAAACTGAAGACCAACCGCCACCGCTTATCTTTGGACGAACGATCAAAGATCAGAGTGACCGGCAAAAGGTTTTTGATTCACAATCGATGCAACATTAAAATTCACCAGCCGACCAAAATCCTCTAGCAACCAGTCAAACACCAATAACAACCTTAACGAGACACTCAAAAACGTTTCTTTGACCATTGACAACCAACTGGCAGCCGCCGGTCAGCAACTGATGATCACTTAAATGATATTCAGGCTTTAAATATTTTCTTATATCTACAAACAGCATTTTTCATAATTATACTAATAGTTTATAATGCTTGAACTACTCCCATCACCACTCCAATGACTACTAACATCACCACTACTACTAAATACTATTACTACTAATACTACTGCTAGTACTATTACTTTACTACTACTACTACTAGTATTACTACTACTGATATACTACTACTTTTACTACTACTGCTACTACTACTTCTACTACTACTACTACTACTACTACTATACTACTTAACCGTTGTTTGTATACGAATATCAACCACTGGGGGTAACATAGGTCATACGCACATTAACTGAGTTTTTGTCATAAGATGCAGTAGTGTGATACGTATAGCACCCAAAAAATTATTATCAAGAAACCGCTTTATATATGATCGAGGCGTAATTATGTTGTATTATTTTCTTTGCAGATAAAATCCCCCCTACTCTCATCTATTGCCCACCACATATCTTGACTACTCGTACCGAGTATTGGGGTGTGGAGGAAAGTTTTGTTTACCCATCAGCAGAAGATAACTTTGACATGGCATTACAAGTAACCGCTGACCCTCCAGATTTAACGTCACCCTACATCTTCACGTCTGATACAACATGTACATACACATTCACTGATGATGCAGGGAATAGTGTGCCTTGCGTCTTCCAAATTTACATCACTAGTAAGTATTAGTTGGTCATACATTATTAATGAAATCAAAATATCCCCATTATTTCAAACTAAACGCATGAAAATTGTTACTAGTTTGAACGGATGCATCCAAAGGCAACAAACTGTAACAATTTTGCCTACAAAAGCAATGTTTAAATCGAATGAACAAAAATTGTATGATACAGACAAGAAAAAGATATTATGCATATATATTTATTATATAACTTTTGTGCATACACTTCTCTTAGCCTATAAAATATTTTTGTTTAACCACTTTGTAATGAAAATCAACAATTCGTAAAAGCGCATGTACTGATGAACTATCATAAATCACCACCGTCTGTTTTCCAGATGAAGTTCAACCAATCATCACATCATGCCCAACTGGTCGTGAAATGATTACAAGTGAAAGAGTTGGTCTTGTCAACTGGGAAAAACCCTTGTACATGGATATGCCCGGTGTTGAGTTGGTGACATCTTGCAACACTCCCCAAAGTCCTGTAGAACTTCCCTGGGGAGATCATGACATAATGTGTCATGTTACTGACCCAGACAGTGGTTTGCAGGCAGCGTGCAGAATGCCCTTCAAAATCAGACGTAAGTTTATCTTTTTATTGTGATCAATTTACTAGCTGAGATTAATTTAAAGAGAACACAAGTGACCTATATATAACTTCACAACACATATCAAGAAAAAAAAAATCAATGAGCTTCGCAAAATGTCGTAAAATATGTGACTGAGGTCTAAGTTTTCCTTTGTTAAACATGAACTTAGACCAAGAATCAGGTTTAACTGAATTAGTGAACTACAGATCATAGATGAATAGTAATAATTTCAAATTATGTTATGCGTTATTTCTTCCTTTGCTGCAGCCGTTCCCTGCGCGGCTCTTGCCATCCCTGCCCATGGAGCACTGGCCTGTGACAACTTTGCCTTTGGTCGGTACTGCAGTGTTCTCTGTGAAGATGGCTATGACGTCCCACGGGTAAGGTCTAGGCGAGGAAGTACAAGCACCATGAAATTGTTCATCTGCGGTAACTCTGGATTATGGTTTCCTCAACATCTTGTTCCTGACTGTTCAGGTACCTGGCAGAGCATCTACATCTCATAAATACCCAAGTATATGCTTGATAGAAATTGAAATATTTGACAAAATGTACTTACCAGGCAAAAAAAAAGGTTTAATTTTTTGCCTCCTCTATGCAATATACTGTTAGGTCAATCAAACTTGCACTTCTTTCTCTTTTGGTATGAAATATTGAAAAAAGAATGAAAGTTAAACTTCAACAAATTAACAGGTCATAAAAAGCCTAAAAGAAAGAAAAAAGTTTTTGCGGTCGCTAGTTGAACAGTACCTTGTTTTATGAGCAGTATCATTGTTTGGATTTATTAAATGGTTCACTAATCATTTATTATTTGTCGCTGTTGATGTGGAATGAAACCTGGCTTTTTATAATAATAATATTAATAATGTATCTAGATTTATATATATATATATCTATCACTTGATATCCAAATATCTCTAAGCGCTTCACAGAAATTTGTATTACCCTGGTCATCGGATTCATTCATGCACAGTGTGCACCACTTCCACTTCCGTTCCTATGGAGATTTCTAAATCAAAGGCTTCCGTCATCCTACCACGTTCCCATTTTTCTCCTGGGTATGGAGTGGCAAATACCGAATAATGTCTAGCAAATGAGAATTATTACCCATGTAGGGGGTCGAACTCATGGCTTTTGTAGTTCCTGTCAAGTGCTTGAATTACTTGACTTAGACACCTTCAAAGCAAGTTTTAATTCCACGTCAACATCCATAAAGAATAAACGATTATTGAATGATATGATCAATTTTAGAATAATACTCCTCATGTAATCTACATACATAGGTTCATGTTAAATACAGAATCATTTCGGATTTCTCTTTTCAATTCTGTAATGTAAAGTATAAATGAATCAATGTGTTATGGGAACAGAAATCAACCTCCAACATGATAGCAAGATTTTAAATAAAACAACCAGAGACGCTTGCAATAACTTAACCTACGAAACAACCAGAGAAAATTTTAATCACACAACCTTTGAAATTTGCAAACCTTTTAGTGGCTTTTCATAATCCAAACATGACACTTCTTTAGGCACCACAATAGGGTATCAAAATCACACTTGAGTAGATATTATAGAAGTCGTAAAGATTGTTTGTCCGTTTGGAAGTTCAATTTGCAATTTCCATTATCTCTACTGCAATTTCAGAAACAAGGTCATCAAGACACAATCTACCCCTGACAATGTACTACCCATCACCATGTTCTCACGATGACACAGCAAGCACGGAGGCAGTAGCTACAAAGTTTCTTCAGATCATAGAACAGAGTTATTTCCATGATATTTGCACAGACAATCACCTGTGTACAGTTGACAATGTGAATGTATCGTGTGGTAGCGTGACCGACCGTAGAAGGCGCTCCATTTCTGACAACAACATGGACATGGCATCACAACGCGAAGGATCTGACATGAAGGTTACCATGGTAATAGGAATGGCTCATAAACTGTAATTCAAATTCATTTGCTAACAGAATTTAATTGACATTGTCTGTCTCATTGGAAGTACCCACAGAAATCCATATGTCCACAAGAGTTAACATCACATGTTTTTCTTTCTCTATATGATCCTGACAAATAAACAGAAATTGAAAAAAGAAATCATGCATACAAATATAAATTCAAATAAAACAAAACGAATGCGATGTTATAGATTATAAATCTTGATTATGATGCATTTCTTATCATCCTTTTCCATCAGATCTCTGAGCAAAATATTTAAAGAATTTCATGACAGTAAACATATCACATTTTAATTTTCCAAATCTTTATTGTGACTTTGATATTAATACGTGATGATACAAATTTTGCCGAGAAACCGCCCACTAATTGATATATTTGGTAAAATATTATATCTATTTGGACCTGATAGGTATCGCGCACGTGTCGCGTAGTCCCATATACATCTGTCTGTGTACAGTGCTTGTAACTTTACCAAGACTGGGCCAAATTTCTTATTATTTTGCTGATTCCAGAACCTTGCAGTACACACCAATACTTATATGCTAGATGATCAACCTTTTTTGATCGATTCCACAACGTTTCTTTCACAATGCATGGCCAGAACTGGTCTTTATCTTTAACACTAGGATGTGATTTAGGTGATATTGATATTTTTCTTCACAAATTCTCGGTATTATAATTTGTCAGTAATGTCAGTGAGTGCAATTGTATTTTGAGGGAATAAAACAAGATATTATATTTTAAGCAATTCTCTCTTTTTATCTTTAATAGTTGCTCCAGGTTTCTCCCCCTAACAACCACAATCGTGGTATTGACGGAGAAGGAAAAGGGGCTGAGGATATTCTTCATCGTCTTGCACAACACATACACAGTCACATTCAGCACCACATCATGGAAGCTGATGGCCCAGAATGGACTATGGAGGAGTCAGAGGAGGGAGAGGACATTCTTGAGGAACCTGGACATCAGCAGTTTAAACCAGAAGCAACTTTACTCCTTGGAGATATTTCATTGGAATGCGATCCAGGACATTATCTAAACAAGGATCTACAAACATGTGGTAAGATGGCTTAAAAATACTCATTTACATTTCATTTAATTATATTAATGTGTGTCTGTTTTTATGCGTATTTCATTATTATCATTTTTCCTGAGGGGGAGGGGATGGATACAGAATCTTGATGAGTTTATTTATTTTGTATTATTCGTCATTTATTAAGAGACTTCTTAGCGCAGAAAGGAAAGCATAATGTTTTAATCATGATTATTCACCGTGAAACTGGAAGAAACTGTACCTTATGAATGTTTTGGTTTGGACCATTTTCTTGCAGCATGATATGCATCATTTTATACATGAACACCTGTGTTTTTTTCTTTTTACTACCGGTAATTTGCTATAATCACAGTACCTTGCCCTGCTGGCTATTATCTGGATGTCGCATCAGAGATCTGTACTCCGTGTAACCAAGGTTTCTTCCAGGATGATCAGGCTCAAACTGACTGTAAGCCATGTAAGAATGGAACTTCAACACGAAACCAAGGAGCAACTCATTCGAATCAATGCGAAGGTACACATATAAGATTATTACTGTTGGGCCTACTCATGAAAGTACTTTATATCGTTATACAACATTTGTAATCCTGTGACAGGAAAAGGGGATGGTTTGGCAGTAATAAGCAGAAAATTTTGTCAACGCCTTACTCAGGGATTATCATAATCTGTTGGCCTTAATGGCATTTGATGTCATTGTAAGATAGTAGATTAGGTAATTACATAGACTATTATTATCGTAAAATACTAGTAATGGTCACCCCAACCGATGAAAGCTGTCTGTTTCACTCTGTTCACTCTGTTGTCCTAGAGATTTAACCATAACTTCAATAGTTATATAAATCTATGGGTGATGTTTGTCATGTATACGCTTGCCTACCTTTTTAATTTATTCCATTTAATTCTTACGCAGTGCTATGCGGTCCTGGTCATTTCTCATCGACGGGATTCTCTCCTTGTATGCGGTGTGAGCAGGGTTCATACCAATCACTTCATGGTCAAACCCGCTGTGAGAATTGTCCACCTATGTTGACCACGCCAGACCATAGTGGAACGTCTGCTGACGATTGTCAAGGTGATTTCTCAAACAATGATTATAATTCTTTGATAAAGGCAGTTTATTCTGATAAGCTCTGCCCTGTGTTTAACCTGACATTCTTGAAAATCATCGCTAGTCCATTATTGTTATAGACTTCAAGCATGGTTTGCTCTTGGTGCAGTAAGTTTCATGGTGCGATATTGGGGTCAAACTATGAGTATTTATTTATTACTACAAAGAGAAATCAAAGTTTACATTCACTTACCTAGAAAATTTCAGGTATTTTGTTTAAAAATTATTTCAAACACTCCACCTAATTCTGGTTATTAGTACACGGTTACAAACAGTATAATGTTGTGCTGTCTTTAACCTTGTTGTTTATTAACTCCCCCCCCCCCAAAAAAAAAAAAAAAAAAAAAAAAATGAAAAAAAAAAATGAATAAAATCAAAATCATCAACATTTTTGTTGGTAATAAATCGAAGGTTAGAACTTGATCATGAGACTGAATCAACGTAATCTCCAAGGACTTCAAATTTCACATTCCTAAACACTTTTTAAGAAACCTCAGAGTTATGAATTATTTATGCCATTTTGAATTAAGTGGCAAGTTGTTGGAAAAAACTGGTGTTAAAAAAAAAATGGTATTGTATCTGACACAGATTTTGTTTCCTTAAATAAATTTAACATATCATCGTAATTCTGAAGAAATAAGTTTCAGCTTCAGTTGATTGTTTTTTTATTCAACGAATAAAATTGATATATTTTACATCTAATTAATCAATGATTATTCTCCTTTCTAGAGCCCTGTTCAGCCGGACATTTCTCCAAGAGTGGCCTCCATCCTTGTACACTTTGTCCTCCAGGCTTCTACCAACCACACCCACAGCGCACATCATGTAGAAGATGTCCTGGGTATACTACCACAACTATGTCAGGAGCAATATCTATCAACAGTTGTCACATCGTGAAGTAGGAGGGTGGTTTGGGGACTTCACTTCTGGTTTAGTCCAGGAATCCGGCCCGTTTTTAACAATCTCCTCCAAAAGGCGATCTCCCCCTATTCGCTGTAAGCTCTGAGCTGGCGTGATCCCCAAATTTTTACCAGTGCTATTGATAAGGGGAATTTGGCTAACCCGGTTGGAGTTGTGCACAATATAGCGAATGCTGCTTTGGTGGGCTAGCACTCTAAAAAATTATTTGCCACATGAGGTGACCAAATGGATCAAACTCCAAGTTGACCAGACTCTGTGTATAGATGCCTCTGATTTGTATGACTGGCTGGCCGTATATTCGTGGATTTCGCTATGCCTATTACGCTTGCAGCGGGTAGGGGATAGGATTTTTGTTTATCATGTACATTCTCTATCATGTAACTATTTCGCAAGGAGATGATTTCAGTTATTACTTTGTAGTGGTAGTTTTAAGTTTCCAATTCGTTTGTTTCTTGCAAGCTTGGGTTGGGAATATTTGTTATCCGGCTGTGTATAGAATATCTGTTTCCAGTATGTACATAATATGATAAGTATAACAAATATTAGTACACCGTGCTAACATTGTGACTTGATTTGACGGTCATTCCCACCTTAAGGAAATAAGCATGTTTTCATTAAAAAGTTGATTAAAGCAAGCAAGGAATCCTTTTCAGTTTTTGTATAACGAATATGTTTATACCAAAAAGAGACCAATTTAAATTTCATATTGGCTAATGAGTAATACAACTTGAATAAGAAAAATTGAATAAGAATTTGGCAGATTTTGAGAGTATAATGAACTTTACCCATCGTCAAATGGTTTGTATAAGAAACAGGTTCTGCAAAATGTTGATATAATTAGTAAATCAAAAAACCCTACACCACTCCTACAAATGGAGTTTTATGTAACACATCGACAAGTCATTTACCTGTGACAGTTTTAATTTAAATTAATTTAATTTAATTTTGATGAAGGAACTTTACATAATTATCTTGATCTAAGGAGACACGAACGAACAAAGTTTTGATGCTATGGTTCAGACAACTCTCTCAATCTGAGTACATAGACAGTTGTCTGGCAATAATTTATGACGTAGCAATCGCCAAAACGACATCTTCTTGGATTGTAACACTGGCATTTAACTTTACCATCAGTTTGCCAGTATAATCCTAAATCTGAAGAGAGTGTCTAGTCCATAGATATCGAATCCCTCACAGGTAGTTACGTTTTCTACATGTTTCTACTTGTAACTGCCCTAATGAACTTGTTAAACAACAAACCCTTGTATGGTCCATGCTATACTGAAGTTTAGGGCAAGGGTATCTAATTCTGTTGATCTCTAATGATATTGTCGAGACGATTTTGCTCTGTGGCAATTTCCACGGGGGATATTTTGGCTCGCGTTTTTGGAAATATGAAGATTGATTAATAAGTGCAGTGTATCATGAATGTCACAGATTTTTTTATAACTGCAGTGCCTTGTAAAGTTGTAATCAAAACAAGATCTAAAATATTTTCATATAATGAACTGAAGGGCAATTTCTATACCCTATGGTATGCCCCATGAAAATCATGTTTGGATTACGTTGTCATGTTTGCACATTTCAATAGATGATGTGCAAGGCTATTGAAATTGACTTAACTTGAATTTTCGAAAGTAGATGCTATTGTGTTTTAAAATGTGTTATTTGCAGTGTGTATGTTAGTGTTTTGTGATTATTACAGTGTAATTGATTGGAAACAATCGTTAGCTCCGTTCATTTTTTTTATAGTCTACCGTTCATTGAAACGATTTGTGGCTTTCAAATGCGTTTTCCTAATTGTTAATAGCGTACATCTTAACTTGAATAGATAGACTGCGTGGTATGTCTTCTGGCCTGGAAGTATCTATAGATTTTGAAGATAGCAAAAACGCACCACCTCTATATCTATGCATCAATTTCCTCGATTGTAAGCATGGCAATGTCACTAAAATTTCCTGTTCTGTTTCCTAATTTTCAATAAACACAGAGAGAAAAACTCATTTTCAATATTTTTGATTGATTACTAATACCCATGTATTCCGTAGATACATGTCTCATAAAGAAGTGTGTAAACAATGTTGCGAGCATGCAATCATATACTTTTAAATAATTCTTGTTTAAAAAGGTTCATCATGTCATCAGTTCAGAGCCAGGCGGGCATTCTCTCATATCAATTTACATAAAGTTAATGTCCTTCTGGCTCCAAACAGACGATCATGTATCCTAAAGAAAATATGTTACTATTCTTTTTTAGTTCAGAAATAAAAATGACTTTCTAAATAATCATTAATGGACGTTTGATTAAGACCTTATTGTTGTAGAACTACGTGTATGTTTTACTGTAACTGTTAAACATTTAAACATTGAGAGGGTATAGCAAAGGTCAAGAGAGTAAAAGAAACAGCGACAGTAAAGAGAAATGGAGAGGTGTGGAAGAGAGGGAGAATAGAGAGACGAATTAAAGAAGGAAGGAGTATAAATTGTACAGACGGAGATCAGAAAAGGGGAACTATTACGACATGTAGTCTAAGGGATAGGAATCGCCTCAAAAGAATAATTACATGATAATTGGGACAGAAAATGCAACATGCAATATCAGCAATATGGTATGAATGCTGCCCCATGGAGTGGAGATGGTGCAAAGATAACACACACATGTGCACACAATCCGATGACCGGGGTTAAAAACCTAATAGTGTATCTGTAAAGTGATTAAAGACGATTACTTCGTATTAGGCACTTTATGAATACAGATTTATTACCATCAAAATGTTTTGTGTATGGAATTGAATAGTGGGAAAACAAATGATGCGGCATTGTTGCTAAGCTGGGAATGAGAAGGGAATAAAATACCAGAGAAAAGAAATCCCCAAATACCAGTTGTGTTCAATCGATCCCAAGTTCCTTAAGGAAAGGCTAATCTGGCAACGAGTTAGCTAATTAACACAGACATAGAAAAGGAAAGGTCTTGATCCTTCATTAATCTTTCTCACAACTTTAGTACAATTTAATGTAGGTTGCATCGAACATATTTTTTCATGGAAGTGCAAGGGGAAATATAAACACCTTTGAAATCCTTGCTTTCACGTACTATCCTATGGCAGGTGAACTTATTTTTAAAGGCCAAATGGAGACAAAGTCATTGAGGTTTATGCGGAGTATTTTCAAATTTGGGAGCATTCATTGATCTTTTCCATATCCTCAAAAGTGTTGTAGGTCTCATTTTATACCACTTCAAGGAAATGCTAGGGGAGATTTAAATCGATTTGGATCCCTGCTTTCACGTGCTAATTACCTATGACAGACGATTTTTTTTCTTCTGTAAAATTTGACTAGAGCATGCATATCAACTCCCCCGGATTTATGGAGGCAATTATTTGACATAAAGGTTTGAAAAATGATTTTGTTTTACGAGTTGATTTTGTTATCAATGGATACATATGGAAAGATTGCGTCATATATTAGCAACAGTTGAACAAAAATCATTCTTAATATTAGCAATTTTTTTGCGGAATCAGTATGTTTAGGACCATGTTCAAACAACCCATTTTAGGCTACTGCCAGCCTTTGAATTTGTGGGTAAATGGCAACATATCTGAAACACAGCTATTTACACACAACCATGACTAAAGAGAAGTGGTATTGTAGTTCACAAACACATTCATTTACACAAAGAACCTATATATAAATATACATTATTATCACTACTATAGGAATTTCCGGCCAAATTCGCGAGTTTTTCATTTAAATTAGTTTGTCTTGCGTTCAAATTCTACGGTTTTAGTGCTGTCAGATATATCTTTGGTTTATATTCCTTTTTCTAGTTTTCAAATTCTTCTCATTCTCAACCAACGAAGACAAAGTAAAGTGGTGGAACGAATAATTTAAAGAACTCTCTTTTGGCATGAGATTCAGAGCTAGCTGCATTGCCTTTCTCTACCTGATCCCCTTTCTCCCTTTTATTTGACTAGCGTTTGACGTGTTTTTTTGCAATACTTAAAATTACGAAAGAATGGTCAATGCCCCGTGTATATTTATAAGCGAGACTTACTTCTTCCAAAACAAGTTTATAATTGTCAGCTTGGATGATGAATTTAATTACTATTGTTTTATGTTTAATATTGAAGCTAGTTTTCAGAAAATTCTTCAAGTTTTTATATTTCTTTTACTTGCTTCTATTATATTTTTAATCACAATTTCTGTTTAAACAGAATAAGGGTATGAACTTATCAGCTCACTATATTAATTTCTTCCTTTAAAGAAAATATCTTTGAATTCCACTTCCCTGTTCGTTATTATTATCATTACATTCATTTTAACATTTTCAGTTTTATTTACTTATTGTCTTCTTGTACACGATATCTTTACCATCACCATCATAATTTTTTTTCGAGGGGGGTGAGATCTGTTGGGCCGTTAGATTGGTTCACAACATTCAATTTCACATCTTTGCTTCTGTCTCTCTCTGTATCTTTCTTGTTTCCTCTCATCTTTCTCGTTTGTTCACTCACATTTTATTATAAATATCTATACATGCATGTCCTTTGCCAAGACATTGATCTACTTCTGCCACACTCCACCCGGGTGAGGTAAATTGGGACCGGTAGGAAGTAATTCCTTGAATGCTGTGAGCACCGAAATCGGTAGCCTAGCAGAGCCGGGGTAATATTAGAGCGCTTTGAGCACCCTACAGGGTGGATATGTGCGCTATATTAATATCCAATATTATTATTATTATTATTATATGTATGGTTTGTTCTATAAAAGAACATGCCATTTTCGTTAACACATGGCACGATTAATCTCCTGAAAATGTAAATTCAAACCGTAATTCTACTGCCTCGGTAAGAATAAATTACAAAAGCATAGTTAGGCTTCATTCACACAAATAAAGGTCCATTAAAATACGAGACGTCTCTTTTTTTATCTCTCCACTTGCATTCAGTTGCATTCACTGACACGTAAAATAGCTATATTTTCCAACAGTTAAATGTTTCCTCTTGTCTGGACTTTCATTTTGTTCTGTTAACAGACCGTGTTCTCATTTCATGTGTGAGCGAGGCACTCTCTTTTCTCTTTCATTCACAATATTCTGTCTTTGCTTTTTCGTATTCATTTCGTCATTTTACCTGCTTCACAGAAAATAGACAAGAAAAAAGCTTCAAAGGAAAACAGATAAGCACACTTAATTTTGTTTAATATACGCAATCACCTTTACATGTATTTCTTGGTTAATTTAAGTATGGAAAAACGATATATCAAGAATTAAAGTGATAAACATTGTTAGTGTGGGACATGTATATCAACCAATAGCAGTTCAGTGTTTCCTTTTTTCTTTCTTTTTAAATTTAATCACTTTTTCCTTCTCAAGTTGGCAGCAATTATTTTCCTACATTATTTCAAAAAACTAAAATGTTTATTGCAATATGCAATGTGAACAAAACTGCAAAATTTAATCGAAATTTTGCCAATTTGTACACGAAAATTGAGATTTTAAACTCATAACTGCGTTGCCAATGTAGAGACTTTAGTGATTAGTTTAAATTGAATCACTCTCATTCGAGAATGACACAACTTACTGCATTAGAAATAAACTCAGAAGTGTATGTGTGTTTTGCTCTTTCTGCGCAAGTAAACTTGCAATTGCTAGCATTCCGGTCAAAAGATAATTTAAAAAGGCAATGGAAGGAAACGCTACTGTTATGGGTTAAAAAATTCTATTTATCCTCCTCTACGCCCTAAAGCATATATAGATTACCATAGCGAAAAATATCAATTTTAAAGGTTATATTTATCACAATACTGCAACAGCTAGCTAGGTATCATAAACAAAAAGTTACTGGTTTCGCACACTGTATTAATTTTCATAGAAAGACTGAAAATATATACATTAATTTCAGCAGAAAATTTCCGAGTTACATATATACTTAGTAAGATATTATATACCACGCACCTAAAGAAAAATATTTAAGATACATTTTCATGCTCTTTTACCCCAAAACACTTTACTAATAATTTTCTTACATAACTTTTTCGGGTAATTTGTGCTACGTAATTTCTTCCAAAAAAAATATAGGGGTACATTTAATACTACATGTACTCACATTGTTGACATAATAGCAATTATATGAAATAAATCAAATGATTAATTTGATCAATAATGTACATTGTATATCAAAATAAACGAATTCAAACTTAGAGCATAAACATTCAAACGGTACTTTCTGTGACAATTACATGAAGCTTTTAAAGAGGAACTCATCACGTTTGTATTGATACTTTTCTTAATCGGCAATACATAGCATTAATGATGCAAGATACGTTTTGATGTAAAAGTGAGATGTTCCTCTTTATCCAAAAACCAAATGTAGATCTACATTGTCGGAGTATAAAGTAACATTGGAATAGTAGCTCTCTGACTTCGAACAGCCCTTAGTTGTATAAACATTCTAACATACATGAACATGTTAAAAGTAGTGCATTTTGATCTGAATATAGAGAAAATACACATTTTCAATAGTCGAGATAATTCTTATACAGTGCGTATAAAAAGTATACTCAACTTTGGTAACTAATTAAAAGATATAATCAATATGACCTTAAAATTTGTTTCATGGTAACAAATTGTTATGTTTTCTATCTAATGATACACCATGATACATTTTCTGCCACGGAGGACTGAGCACCAGACTTCCCCAAAATTGCCAAAATCTCCTGGTATATGCTGACGTACCAAATGTCGGTTAGGCCACATGCATGTAGGTATACATTTTTGTTGTGTAATCCTTTCAAAATGTTAAAACCTGCTTCAGTGGATCATTGTTTATTTAAGAGATGTATATATCAAAATATGAATAGGACATTGTCTGTAAATGTCTTAATCCACGGGATAACCTTAAATCATTTCGAACAACCTACTAAGTTCTTGTCTGATATCTAAGATGTTTCTGATCACTTGTCCAATACACCATTTCGGATGAATAAGGTGTGTGAGGCGAATAAAAAGTAATTTGTTTTAAACAACACATGAAATGTATAAATGTACTAACCTTAAAGATTCAATAAATGCAAGAGAGAATGCAAGTTGGTATCTACTAAGATATTGACAATAAACTTTTACATAAAAATATAGCTCTCCGAGTAAGCTATTTCCATTTTATGACATTTATTACTCGATGACAAGGCTTGCCGTCAGCATAAGAAAGAGAATATGATAAAGCTTGGTTTTAAATTAGCCTTTTCTTTAGTCTGAGTTGACATTGCAACCTCTCATATCAAAACATTGCATTTTCCCGCTAACCCTAATAAAGTGCAGAATTCTTAAGGGCTCCTGACCCCGCTCCCCCCTCCTCAGTGTTATTTAGGGTACACGTATGCATGTTCCCTCCCTTTGAAAGCACCCATATCTCCGGACTTTGTTGCGTGAAAAGTACCCCTTTACCGGAGATTTGGGGAACATGAATGCGGTCCCTCCGACCCCGGAGTGGGGTTGGGTGCCGGGCCTTACCCACATACATTGCTTCAGACAAACTTGGTACAGTACAAGAGGATTGTGATAATACATTTTGGAAATGCTGTTTCTCAGTCATCCATTTCAGATGCGTTACGAATAACATACTATATAGAATATTAGTTCCTTATTAGAAGGCCACATAGGTTACTTATTTCAAATTTGGAATTTTTTGTTCTATACACACTGATATTAAACTGTAATATAACATTGAAAAACTGTTTTCCTCATCTTTTCATAATGCAGTACAGTTACACTACTGAGTTTGGCGTATAAATCATTGATCCTAGAATATGATGTGCGCATCAAAACATTCAGGTGTCTGTTATTAGAACTATGCAAAATCTTATTAAAATACGAGAGCAAAGGTTTTAAAATGTTTGTAACCTTAATAGTATTGGCTCCATTGCAAAAACAATGTAACAATTTTCTAATAATTCATATTTACTTTTCAAAAGTTATACAGATTTGAATAATCTGCTATCAAAATGCATGCACGTATGTGGAAAACAATATGGGTCTAAGGATAGCACTTTGCGGTATTCCGCTTGTAATTTCTTTAGTATTCCATTGCTTTTTCCTATAAGATAATTTTCAAACCATTTGGTGACTTTTTAAGACATACCGAAATTTTTGGCAGAAGAATGTGATGATCATTGAAGTCAAATGCCTTTTGTAAATCTAGCATAATAATTCCTGTTGTACACCCTATGTCCATATTATCCAATATTTCTTCTATGATATTTAAAAGTGTAGTAGTCGTTGAATATTTGGAATCCAAAACCTGACTAATTATCACATAATAAGTTGTTGTCATGGAAAAATCATATGTCTGCTTAAAAAAATTTCTAGCACTTTTGCTACTACTGGAATAAACGATATTGGTCTGTAATGGCCTTTTCCCTTCTTATTTCCCTTTTTATAAGTGGGAGTTTCATTTGACATTTTCCATGTTTAAGTGGTACATTTCCTTGAAGCAAGGACTTATTTATGATATGTCACATTGGTTTGGAAATAAATGGTAAAATAATCTGTTTAAACAATGCTAAGACCTCATCTTGACCTGTAGCTTTTTTGAGGGAAATGTCTTTTAATTCTTAACTTTTTCAGTGCCGATGTCACATACATCTGACAGATAGACTTGTCATGTTCATTAACCTAATGCCCGACCACATGAAAGGGATATGGCGGTCAATGTATATCGAAATTTTGAGCCTAAATCAATCATTATAAATATATGATTATTATATAGTCATATTATGCTACCATAAACATTTTCTGAGAAACTTGCAGATTTTTAATAAAATATTATTCCTGGGTATCTTAACATTGTAACAATCTACTCCCGTTGAATGTTAGTCTTTTTCTCTACGTGCAATCATATGGCACCTGTAAAGGTCTGTAGGTTGTAGTTCAATCCCCATACTTTCTTGACTGTGTTGATGAACAGTGTGTCAGTATTTAAATTAGGCACGTCTTGAGATTTGTTAAGAAATTAAAAACGATGCCAATTATTTGATCCAAGGTATCCACTTGTGCGTTGGGGCTTTTGTCAGTATCCTGCTCTGGTGTCGAATTCATAGGAAAAAATGGAGAATAATGAAAAGATAAAATAGTGGCGAAAATGAATAGTTAAAACAAATGAGAAAATGTACTGTTGTATCAATCAGTGTAGATACAATAAACTACAAATGCGAATATATAAATCTTGTTGTTTCTGAAAAAGGAGACCATCATCATTGCATTCTTCACGTTTCAGGAACTAAGAGTGCATTATTTTAACATTGCAAGACAATTACTGTACGGGTATACCATGGTAAAACCATAACCTTAATAAATCATTATTTTAACCCGTCTATTAGAAGTATTTTGAAAAGGGGGGGAATATATTTCTATAGGCTTTATTAGTTTACCATAGAAACTATTCTCCATCTCCTGAATGAAAGCATTGATAAAATATATCAGATAAGTAATCGCAACTTTGCAATACTCTGATGTAAATTTTGCTAGCTTTAACCATTTATCTGGCAAGAGGAAACTATTTATTCTCATAAAGTATCTATAGCTAGGCTATCCCACATCCAAATATGAGGTCACTACATTATTTTTTAATAGGAATGGAACAATGTGTCTGTCTCTCTTTTAATATACCTGTACAGTCTGCAAGTTTGTCTGAACTTTCATCAAAAGTAACCAGGTTGCCAGGACATAGGTTGCAGGATTCCTCACGATGATTGGTCTGGTCTTGATAGGTGTTTAGAGGACATGGAGTACATGATGAACTTTCTAGATAGCTCCCTGGCTGGCACACAACTACATAACCAAAAACATTGGGAAAATTCATGTAAACTGTAGAAACTACATGTAGGTGTTGTACTAGTACTACTAGTAGTAGTATCAGCAGTAGCTAAGTAGTAGTAGTAGTAGTAGTAGTAGTAGTAGTAGTAGTAGTAGTAGTAGACTATAGGAAAAAGGCTTATCTGCCAAAAGGTTTGTGTTCTGTTGTGGATTCGAGTTTTGAAAGTGTTAGTCAATGCAGATAAAATTATATTTTCACACACAATTTAGTTCAATTTTGGCTGAGCATCACTCGTAGTTTAGTTGACCGATTGCAATGTCCTTGCAATGTCCACAATAAAGTAATTCTTAACCTTACTTTTTAGCACCAAAAGATTTTATGAGAATATAAGAATTTATGAGGATTTTCATGAATAGATTATCTTTCCTTTTCCCTTACCAAGACAGTCATTACTTTGTGAAGATCCATCCAGGAAGGTAATCATTCCTGGAGCACATGGAATACATTCTTGTTCTTGATGCACATCAAGATCTAAGAATGTGTTGAGTGGACACGGTGGGCATAGTGGATTGGTCTCGTTTGATAAGTCCACGTAATGCCCTGCATTACACACCGCTAAAAAAACATCATACAATATAAGCTACATAACTGTACCTCTCTGAGCATTTGACAGCAATAAATTTTTCATCATTTTATAATTTGTAGTCGTAACATAAGCATACGACGGACACTTGCACTCGCAGTTTTAAAGTTTCAAACATTTGTCAGAATTACTATCACATCATAATTGTAGTTTCTGATAGGTAACATTTTGCACATTAAGAATAATAAGCCCATCGATAAATACATATTTATGTGATGAAAGATTTTGCATGCTCTGTACATAGTTTGAACCTTGCAATGGTAATATTGCTTTGAGTAAATTAACAAATTTTATTAACATTCAAAGTTCTTGGAAAAAATTGTGAATATTCTTTATGATTACTTCTGGAAAATAACAAATAACATATTGTTACCCTTTGCCTTGGCGAACAGATAACTTAGGAAACAATAATTTTAAAGTAAGTAATAAAGATGTAGATAATTCATTTTGGTTTGGGTCGAAAATATAATGATAATTTTATAAAATTACCCAGACAATTTTTTCAACCTCTCAAGATCTTAGATGCTGCTTGTAAGTATTGGCTGGCATGGTGATCCACAAGCCTACTGTATATCTCAAAATCTTTATATTGATCAGCTTGATATTGTCGGAAATGAAATAATATCACCCTTAGTTTTCGTAATTTTTCATCACATGTACCTTGGTAACTAAATGAAATGATTAAAAAGTATGAGAATGGAATAGGAAGTATAAGAGAGAGAGAGAGAGAGAGAGAGAGAGGGGGGGGGGGGAGTGTGAGACTTACCAACACAATCAGAAGCACTTGCTGTTCCTGGTTCCAGAGTTACATATCCAGCGGGACAAGGGAAACAGCTTTCGATTCCAATTTCGTTTTGGTAAGTACCAAGAGGACACGGGATACATGTAGTGTTACTAGGATCTGACCACACATCTTGGTAATGACCGAGTGGACATGGTTCTATATGGAATGAGAACGATAACAAGTTATCAACACATGGTAATATATCAAAAATAGAAAGATTTGTGTCGTGTTATAGTGGAGTGGTATAATGGTTCTTTCACTTGACTCTTGATCAAAGGCTGTCTATCACCATTATAGGTAAGGGCGCTATGTGAGTTGATGTCAAGCTCAAATAATGAGCTCTAGTTTTGTTTTGATCTTTATCGTTTCTACGTATTTTTGTTTGTGTTTTTTTAAAGAATACTAATAGTAATAGGCATTATATAGCGCGTTCTATCTAGACAATTCTATTCCCAGGCGCACAAGAAAAATTAAAGAATAGGAGAGTTTGAATTAGTGTCATAGTGCCAAGTAAAGGTATTGTTTAAAAAATATGAGATTTCAGCTTCGATTTATAGGTCTCTACGGAAGTTATAATTCTCAAATCAAATAGTAAACTATTCCAAAGAGAAGGTGCTGCAGCTGAAAAGGCCCTTTTACCACAGGCTACTCGCGTCTTAGGGATCTTAAGAAGATGCTGGTGTGATGATTTTAGACTACGAGCTGGTATATATTAGCCTAACAAGGTAATGTAGTTTGGTGCCTATCCATGTTCAGCATTCCATGTGAGGAGAAGGATTTTGAATTATATGCGCTTGCGCGCTTGCGGCTTGCGGATTGGCGGGGATCAAAGTTGAATTTCGCTCGGGTGGGAATCTAGTTCAGAGAGAGATAGCGAAGAGCAAGGCAATGTACTATTCTCGGAAGGTTCACAGATTAAATCAGATTGAACCTTCTCAGTGGTATCGTCAAATCCGGAAAATGGCTGGGTTCTTCAAACTACCTTTCAGCCTACCATCATGTAATGGACACAATGAGTCACAAAAGGGTGCTAGGATTAACGAGCATTTCTCTGAGATCTGCAGTTAACTCCTGCAACTAGACCTACATCTTTGCCGTCCTCCCTTCAATATTCTTCGGTACCACGTAACATCTATGCTCATGATTTTTTACAATATCCTGCGACGGCTGAATGCGTCTAAGGCCACCGTGTCCAGTGATATCCGGGTGAAAGTTATAAAGGAGTTTGCGTTGGAACTTTCTGAGCCCCTGTCGGTATTATTCAATACCAGTCTTTGCACTGTACCGACCCTTCTTGCATGAAAAGAGGTGTGATTATTCCTATCCCGAAGAAACATCAAATTACACAACTATCGGATATGTAGGTGGAGCATCTGCGACCTTTCTGCCGTTATAGATCAAAAGCAATTTGATAACGTCAATGGTACATCTACTTCGCACTACCTTGTCACTTATGCCAGGGCTGATTAACCAAATCCAGACCCTGAATGATCTTGAGCAAACCCTAGCCTGGTTGAGGTAATTAAGCACCGGCTCAATTCGTTGAATGATGTCTTTTTTTTGTCACGTTGTCTCGGGGCTACTGCAGAGTTTAATTCTAAGGATAAAACTTCTTGTTCCTGCTGATTGGATGGGCGCTTGCTCAGGACGATTACTGTTTTGTTATGAGTCGGAAGCTGGATAGATCTGCGGTCAGACGGAGTCGAAGCGAGCAGTAACTAAGTTCCGAAGGCAAATTCAAATGATCTTCTCTTAAAACTCCCAACCCTTTTCCAGTCCCCTTTTGAGAGAATAAACTTGAAAGCTGACTGTTGATCTTTTCCTGGAGTTGATGAAGCTGGCTGCGGATGTCTTTGATCCTTTGCCTGATAAGGTGCTATGTAGTCCTGGGGTTTTACACCATAGTCCCGTCACATTTTAAGGAAGATCAGGGGGTTGATGTACTTTGCTTGTTTGGTATGGCTCTGTTCACGTTGTCTGCTGGATCAAAGACGAAAGGTACAACCTACATCGAAACGTCGATACAGAGCATGATTGGCCCATGTCAAGGCCAACTAACCATGTCAAAGAATATGCGGTGTAACCGGAAAGCTCACCCAAATATCATCATCATTATCAATATATCTGAATACAAGTCTGTTAAAAGGCCCATTCTGCAACTCAGCTAAATTATTATGAAGGATAAGAAAAAAGATTATATCATGTTTAATGAACCTACCTATACAATGTTTGATATCATCAGCTCCGGGATCATTCGTTATTAAACCTGGGGGACATGGGAGACACTCAGCTTGTCCCTCTTGGTCTTGATAGGTGTGTAGCATGCATGGAGCACATACAGCTGTGCTGGTGTTCGGTAGGAAGTACTGGAAAGTACCAGCGGGGCATCCGACTATTGAGGAAAATAAAATAAAATCAAGATATGATATCGTTAGGAAAGAAAATCTACATTTCCCGCTATATGCCTTTACGATGTATCGCATAAATTTCTTTGAACAATCTCTGTATGACCTATAGAATTCATGGTTAGGGTTTTTTGCTTTTCTGGTGGAAAATTTAATATAATTTCATGTCGAAGCAAAGTACCAAAAATGCTCTTCAAGTCAAGTGAAGCCATTTGCTCCTTCTGGCAAACTTTTGATTAATGTACAACATAATTCTATTTTTTTAAAGCAGATGTTCAATTTGTTTAACCTACCACAGCTTCCCTGTACTGTCAAACCAGACCCTCTCGGACACGTAATCTTCACCCCAGTGGTACTTTTATTAGTGTCAACTGCAATGACCTCACCATCGACTTCCAATGAGAAGAATCCATTTTCCAAACGGTGGTCAAATCTGTTGCCAAATTCGCCCAATGATTCCTCCATAGTAACTAAGGGAAAAAGCCAATATAGGTACATACATAACCGCGGTAGGACTGATGTGATAGTGTTAGAGCGCAGGGGCATCACATGCGGACCCATGTATCCTTTACAAAAAGCACCTGCTATAGGGCAACATAAAATATGTTTTTGGTGATATTAATGTCCAACACTTGATACAAAAAAATGATCTTTTTTCTTAAAGGGCAATCCAACCCTTGTTATAGCTCGTTTTGTATGAAAGCAAAAATATAACAGGAACAAAATGGCAAAAGTTTGAAACGAATCTGATCAATAAAAAGAATTTAGGAATGTTTGAAATATGATATCAATGCGAATCTTACATTACTAGTTTGGTTGGTGGTGGTAGGACATGGATAACCCATTTGCCGGGTAAAAAGATATCACTTATTTCTATTCAAATCATGCAAGAAAACCCGTTTACTTTCTGGACTTCCCTGTCAGACACTATTGAGTGACTGACTGACATATTTTTTTCTTTGGTAATAACAAACATAAAATGAGCTGTAACAGGTACATGAGCATTTGTCTACATCAATAACCCACTACTTGTATTGGCCAAATTAAACTGATTGAATCGGTGTGCAGCACAAAATGTACGATTATTCGGTACAAGTGTCTAACAAATATTACTATTACTTAGGTGATTGCACTCACTTATGTCGATTCGACAAGTAATGGTCGTTATTTTCCCACCAACATTTTTTTCTCAAACCTTTTCGTTTTGAGGGAAGTTCTAAATAAGTATTGTTTTTCAAATGCCGTTGGAATTTAACCTTTTGATTTGTTTGTACTGCAAATGGGACCATGAAAGGTACTTATATGTATGCCAGACAGAAATTAACAATTCCTCATCTTTATATTATCGTGATATCCCAACATTTGAAAGTTACCCCCCAAAGTATAAGATTTCAATAAATCTGAGTGTAATACAAACAAATACAACATCATCTGAGGTCTGGAAAAAAGGAATACATTGAATCGATACAACATACAGACGAGATGAGATGGATGAAAAGGATGAGAAGAGACAAGAAGAACTCAGATCACACACACACACACACACACACACATATATATATATACACTGAAATTAATTGATATACACAAAAATACAAACGAAACGCATTAATTCCTTTTAATATCATTGCCAATCTTTCTAATCATTTTCAGTGTTAATGAAAATTCAATTATTTGTAGGTTATATTCACCTGTATCAGTAAGGAGAGTTCATTTGTTATTGTTTATTGATAGAAAGAGACAATAAGGCATACAAAAAGTTTAATGAAAGTTCAATGACAGTTTGATGAACTTGTATTTCTATGTCTTTCTGTAGACTGTAAATATCACTCGAATGGACGTAAATTGCGGTTAACAAAAAAAAAAAACACACACACACATACACGCACATAGTTTGCAAGAATCTCCAGTCAATTGAAGGAGGCAGACTTAATCAAAAGAAAATTAATAGAGCTAACGTTTAAGTCCACCCCGACAATAAGTGTGTATCAACAACATGAAGAAATGAAAAGAACAGATTAATGAAGGTTTGAGAAAAATTGGAGAATAAATATGAAATGAATTCGTTTAATCCATATTTTTTTTAATGAAATACTCCGAATTTGTGAGTCAAATTGGCAAAGGAAAATATGATGCCACTACTCACATTTTATCCGTGGATGAATGCTAGAAATGTCATTAAGTTCCATTTATATTAAAAATTATATTTTCTATCTTATTTGATATTTTATCACGGATAACATGTCCTTTTATGTACCCCCATATAAGACAGGTCTACTGCTCATAGAAATGTAGATTCGGGGTATTTCTGTCATTTAGATCAGTGGTGAATTGTAAGAGGATGACATCACAATTTCTGACTCCATTGCCAATTTGTCTCAACGATTCTGTGATTTTCATGATTTTTAAAGATTCATAATTTTCTTATTTGTTGTCCGCTTTTTCTCAAACTTTCACTGAATTGTTTCTCTAATTTCTCTGCTTATATTATCACAAATTCAGTATCAGGGTGGATTTCCCCTTTCAGAAAAAAGGAATTTATTAGTATCTTTGTGGCTCACCATCGCTGAAATCTATGTCGAATGAGATAGTGATAGGAGATTCTTCAACTGACCGCTTCTTCGACAGACCACAATTGTTGACCTTAATTAATTGAGGAAACAAAAAAAAAGGTACCTAGAAAAGCATGAAGAGTGAAATGAATTGTGCGGATCAAGTATCAGATAACGTGTGTATAAACATGAATAAAATTCTTCTAGTATTGAGAATCATTATCTCCTGTGCTTTTGTGTATTTCTCGAACTTCTAACATAAGTCAATACTTTCTAGTATATATTTATACAAGATGAAAAATAAATGCACTATTTTCCCAGGCCGTAAATAGAACCTCAACTAAAAAGACTGTTTACGGCTAGGCAAAGTTGGTCACGTGATTAGAACCCTACGCGCAGAGATGTTATGTGTCAAGTCACTGGATTAAATCAAAATTATATGGTCCTTCGGTCAATGTAATAGTACTTTTGCAGTCACCATGGGCCCATATAATTTTAACCAGAGCCTGTCATGAGAGTGTATACTTGTACACTAATTCGCAAATGATATTAATCGCAACATACATAAGAGATGAAAGGATGCAAACTTCCGATTGGTTGGAGGACTATACAGAATGGCTTTCCTAGGAGATTTCGATCAATTGCAATACTTTATTAGACGGGGCCCTAGTTAATATTTTTTGCAATATTTCCCAGTAGGAGCGAATTTTATGCCTGTAGTTTTAACCAATCAGAAGCCTAGAATCTTCATATGAGGTATATAATATAATTTATACAAAATATGACTGATATGACTGATAAACTTTAGTCGATGTCATACCAACCTGTATATTTGAGAGAGCACAGTCAATGCAGCCACTGGCATGAACATTGTTTATGATGTTAGAGCTGACTAGATCTTTAAGGCTTTCTTCATCTGCCACCGAAGCACATGTTGCACCTGAGTAAGCAAAGCTGACTTGCACCTCTAACAAATCCGGAGACATCGTTTCTAGTAATTTACATACACAGATAATAGTATAATCACGAAGCATTGGCCACAAATATTTGAAAGTTTTGGTCCTGTTTTTTCTTAAAAATAAAGTGTTTTTTTACGAATGATTGTGCAGAAAGCTGACATTTAGCACAATAGGTAAAAGGACCTGGTACAATTCCAGGATCGCCATATTGTGTCACTTTTCTGTCAGGTATGTTTGGTGGTGTTACCAAAGTTCGCGCATGACCTACGTTTGCTATCTCAAAAAATCGGGAAAATAAATAAAATCTGATTTTTCACCAACGTAAGAGGATCCTAAAATTACCTGAAGACGAAATTTTCTTTGAAATTGGATATGAAATTATAAAAATATTGAAATATTATTAAAAGATTGGCGAATTTTGCAATCATTTGCGTCCGTTCCGAAAAATTATTAACTCTTCATTTTCAGAACAAATATCTTCGAAATTGAAGGTACAAAGTAATACAAACTGATTTCATTATATCTTGCCTTGCAAATGATGAAATTACCTTATTTTTTATGGATCGTCTTTAAAAATATAAATCAGCTGTAATTCCCCGTGCGTGAAGTTAGGTCACGTTGACTTTTTGTAGTTGCAGCGTGCATGCCGATCCGACATCGAAATTTTAAATCGCGATAGCTCCGGAATCTTTTGACGATATCAATTTTTTAGTTAACAATTTTGCAGTAAAAACATTGCCGTCCATTTAGTAATGATCGAAACAAATGAATTTGTGTAGAATATGAGAAATGGTTGATCAGATATCCCATTTCTAATATTTTTAAAAATGTCCGTGAAATTTTGTCACCTCTTTATTCTTCATGTTTCCTTTTGTATAGTATGGTGTCGTGATATAGTGGTTCTTTTACTGGAGTCTCAATCCAAGGTTTGAGGTTCAAATCCAAGCCTGACACTAACGTCTTTTGTCAAGACATTAATAAAAAATTTACAATCATTAATATTATTTATGTTGTTATCAATATTATTATTAAGATATAATTTCAACAAAAAAGGGACACGATGTGCCGCTGCGGAAATCAAGCCATGAACCATGTGATCCCCAGTTCGGTGACATATCCACTAGACAACGAGACCTCCAACATGTTGACTTACCCACGCATGGAGGCAAACTTGCTCTGCGGTTGTAATTACTTTCATGATCCCATTTATAATCTGACTTCGGGCCACATGAATATTCTGGCAGTGTAGGTTGAACGAAGCCAAGATCAGGTGAGTTACAACTGACTGTGCACTTTTGGGTTTCACCTTCGCTCCAACAGTTAAGTGTGGCATTACCAGGAGTCTGCAGATACAGACAACCTTTGAAATAAAGAGACAAAACTTGTGTAACCATTTTCAATCATAATAGTTCAATGTAAAAAATTTCATGTGAGTTAATTTACTTTTACAATACACAAAAAATGTAAAATAATCATCATTACAATACATCATCATCATCCTCATTGTGTAACGTTCTTTTTTTTTGGACAAAGTGTCAGGTTGGACGTTTCATTTCCCTTGTATATGCCCTTATCTCAGCTTCCAGTTTCAAGAATCTGTCTGGATGAAGGCCCGATGTTCTTTGCAATTCCAATACAAGTACATGTAAATAATATTAAAACAAACACTTCATATCTGAGTGTGAGATTGAAGTCAATCTTGAAATTAGGAAACAACAAAGACACGGAGAGAGGTGGACGTTACCAATTTATTACGTACCTGGACAATCCTGGATATTACATGGTTCTTGTTTAGTATTTTCTCCATGACAAGGCTGTCCATAATCATTTGGTGGTGGGTTGGTACATTCCCTTAAAGTATTTCGAGTACCACCTCCACACGATGCGCTGCATGGACTCCACGGCAACCAATTACTCCAACCACCATTAACTGAAGAAAGGGAATATTCAACATTTCAATCATTATGATATTGAATCATCAAAGCAATCAATATATCACTTAGAAAATCTTGTATAATTTAACATCAACCCTCAGAAAGAAATCTTAAATAACATGTGGACATTTAGTTAAGAAAGCTGAATATCTTTCTTCTATTGACAACTTGCTAGTGTAATAAAGTCGTAAATGATTGTTAATTGTATTACAAAGATATTTCTCCTTGATGGATGGGCATTCCCGACAAACCCCACATCCCTCAATTTGTAAGTAGTATTTATGACCTAATTTATTTTGTTATCATTCTTTGCTAATTAATGTAGGTACAGGAATTAATTTAGTTATGTGGATAAATGAAACTCAATTCAAACATCAATTAGCAGATGAAAGTTATTGAAATATTTCATATATCTAAATCCTAATCAGGCCGGGGGGGGGGCATTATGGCCCCCTTCCCCTGTGATTTTTCTGATTGTATGGGAACGCGTTAGGATGAAGCACTGCAGCTTGCTATTTTCTTTTGAGTCTTGCGGACCTTTTAAAACAATTTTTTTTATATAAAATTGGCCGTACCGTTACGAAGTCACGAGACCTTTTGTCTTTGAATATCAGCCCCAAAATCGCTCATCTTCGTGATTTGTGTACAAAACATATACAAATATAATTTTTCATAAAAAGAGATAAACGTTGGTTATTTGTTCTTGCTCATAGTTAAGTGTTTGTTTTGGGGGTCCACATAGTTGAATTATAGCTAGAAATGAAATAAAATAATTTAAAATACATTGGTAAAAAAAAAAATAATACATAAGAAATTATAAATACAATAGATAACATAAGGAATAACCTGGCTCTTCCCAATATTATTATTTTCAAATGGTCTAAAGAATATATGTAGTAAAAAGGAATGTTTAGATATAAAGAACAATTGATTTATGGGTAAAAATGTGAATGTTATGAAATATTTGCATAAATTACCAATATGAAAAGGATTTAATAAAAAAGAATGAAATTATCATAGTATTCTATACACGTGACTTAACATAATTGCAGGCTTTCGCTGCAATTGGCCATGTCACGACCGTGATCTTAGGGGGGGGGGGGGAGGATAATGCCCCCCCGGCAATAGAAAGACCTCAAATACCCCTGCCTCATTAGGGTTAATGATTGCTGCATATCATATTATTTAAATAAAAGAAAAGGTACGTTTCTAAAGATCAAGGCTGTACAAGTTTACATCTAAATAATTCATACCCCTTGTAGATTTTGTGTTTTGTTATTTTTGTTTGCAACTCAAGAATGATAGGTGGACTGGTTAAATCAGGGCATTTGATTCATACTTGTGAGATGTAAGCTTTGATATTCTCAAGAAACTTAATTAGGAATAATCAACTTTTTACATAGGCTACTTTAATAGAAAATTACAAAAACTGTGTATGGGTATGAATAATTTAAAAATGCATTTTGTAAATAGGGAATAGCTGAATCAACTTACTAATTTCAAGCTCACAAAACTCTCCAAAGAATCTATCAGGACATGAACAGTGAATTGTCCTATTCATGGTTTGACAGGATCCTCCATTCTCACAGCTCTCATTGTTGCACAGGTCGATGAACTTTTCGCAGTTTATTCCTTCATAATCTTCAAGACACAGGCAGGTATAGGAGCGGAGTTTGTCCACGCAAGTACCTCCATTTCGGCAGGGGACCAGGCTTTCACATTCATCAGTATCTACAACAAATCAGGGAAAACTCAAAAATAAACAACAGTTTAAATCTCTCATCTATACTCTTAATGATATCTTTTGCCATGCAAAAGCAAAGATTTTTCTTTACTTACTAATTAATTTACTACATAAAGAAATTAAATTTGAATATTTTCATCATATTCTCTTTCTGAAAATATATCTTGAAAATACTCGTGTCAAGTGCATTTTTCGAATTCCAAGTTCATGCCAGAAAATTAAAACAACTGCTTGATAAACTTGAGAGCTGATTAAAGATTACATATTTGAATTAGTGATAATGTACAAATAATCATAGGGTAATGTTCCTGTGAAAATCTCTATATCTGGAGAAACGTTTGCCTTTATGATGCTATCTAATATAATGCAAACTTTTAAACAATGACGGAATATTATGTATTTGGTTAAAATGATATCCTTACCATCACACACTGAGGGAGTCGAGGAGGTTGCAGGAAAAGCCTGGTGGGAGTCAAAGTCTGTCCATGAAATAATGTTCCCATAAAGATGTGGCGAACACTCTGATGTGACCCTAGACAACACTTCATCTGAAACATATCCACTCCAAACATTGATGCCAGTCATGAAAATAGTATCTAAAAATGAAAACAAATCATGTCCTTGTTCTTGTAATCACAATTATATCTTAGAATTCATTCTCTAGCTCAAAAAGAGCAACTGAGCAGAGAAGCGAAAGCAATGGACGTGTTAATTACAAAGCTTCTGTACTTCCTATTGTGTCTTGCAACTCGGATGGTATAAACATAGCACACGAAATGAAATATCACGCAGTTGAAAATGGATGGTTCCTATTTCCGGGTTTTCCTTTTATTGGGTATAGATTCCTATAAAAAAGAGCAGCAAAGTAATGAAGATTTTAAAAAATTACTATTAACATTTCGAAGATTGATAATCAAGGAAGGGAATAACTCTTTACAGTGCAATTTTACAATTTTGGTTAAAAATATATATTTTAAAATTATACTTTATTATCTTGTTCTTCTTTACTGTAATGTGGTATCAACACCACTATAACGGATAGTGGCATGGGACATTATTTATATCAGGGGATTGGTTTTTCTTCTCATTTTTAGGGGAAGTATACACAGCACTCAATGATCTTTCGTGCAACATGTGCCTAGTTTCAATATAATTCAACAGAAACGATGAACGAAGCTACACGACCATTTACTAAAGGCTGTCACTGATTGCCTGAGACGAATATTCGTAAATTATTTGTATTCCTAGGAGAATTAAATTGTTTTTTTCACTTCAATTAGTATGGATGTCAATTGGCCTACATGGTCTTTATTAATTTATAATAGAACGTTAGCTCATGGTAAAACATCATTTGCAATATTCATATTTTCTTTTACGGTAAAGAGCGATACTGGTCATTTTTGTAGTTCGGTTGACTTATCATACCGTTTCGGTCAAATTTATCAGCTCCAACTTCAAGTTGCAAGTTTCCTGAGAGATTGTATTGAGATGCATCACCACTTATAATCTCAGATCCATCCAGAAGAACAGACCATCGTCCAGTGTTAAAGAATAGGAGCAATACATGATGCCAGCGACCATCACACAGGGTAGGCCTAGTCGATGAATACATCCGACTGAACATAAAAGAAAATTAAGGAATTCAATTATGCATCAGAATGAAAGATCCAATGGCTATAATGTAAACACAATTCAGCGATTTCGAGCTAAAGTTTGGACTCAGGAGCATGTATATTCGAAACGGATTTTTGTTTAATGTTTGTCTTCTTAATTCCCGACTAACCTCACCCCCGAAAAAATGAAGTGTTGTAGTTGTTTACATGTCTATACATGCAATTAACTGAATGATAAACAGTTACATGTATTACATGTATTACAGTTACATGTATTACTTAAAGAAAGTATACATTCATTGGCTGTATGGTATAAATGTAATGCAAATATAGAATGAACATTGACTTAATTTGTTATATGTAGTTAAGCTGCCAACATTTAAGAAGGCTTAATTCATGTTCAGCTAAGGGAAGTTAATTTATTAATCGTATTGGTATTTTATTCAATACATAACATTTCATTTTTCTTATTTATTGAAAAAAATTGCATTCTTTGGTGTCGAACTCGTTTGCCTATGCTTTTCACACGTATGTCCATGCATGATACATAAATAAGTGCTTTATGATCAATGGAAATTCTCACTTCATAATTCCAAACAATATTCTGGGTAATGTCAAATGGAAACGCAACAGATTCACTCACCGAGCTTCTTTGAAAATCAGACTGCAAGGATTGTAAATGCCGAACTGAAGATTACCCAACTTAAAGTGAATAAGCTGCTTGTAAGATGATGTCATATCTGCCTTCACCCAGAGAGAAACAGTTACATTCTGCAATTCGGTGCTCACATCAGCAGAAAACATGATGGAAGATATCTCATGATCGAGTTTGAGATCGTAATTATCAGGGATAACTGGGGAATAAAAGTAGCACAAGGTATACGTATCACAATTACAGGGAAAGGGCATTCATTGTCGTTATGCAATAGTGTGCAGGTGAATTAAAACCTTTATTCATTATTCATTATTCACGGTCCAATCGTAATTTACTATCATAAAAAAAAGTCACTTAAGAATGTCACTGCATTCAGTTTGAGTCAGAGCTGAGTCAGGGCTGAAAAAAGCTGAAAGCTTTTTCCACAAGTTATATTGGTATATATACTGATATATGAATACCAATTTGGTACCCACGGTCATCAACTTACAGTAATCTTATATACCATACGAAGGGGGGGGGGGGAGGGAATACAATAATATACTAATACCTAATACCTGTTTCACATTCATTCCCTGTAAAGCCAGGATGACAAGTACAGATATACTGCATGAAGCCGTCTGTGCAGGTGCCATTATTCTTGCATGGGCTGGAAACACAGGATGATATAAGCTCTTCACAGTGCGTACCACTGAAATATATAATAAACAAACATCATAACAAACAATTGAAAGAACTGACATAACACACAGTGTACAATACTAAATTTAAGTTTAGTTGTATCGTCTTCAAATGTCTTCCCCTCAAATCTTCATCTTTATATTGAAAACTGTTACAATTATAATAATTTTGCTTAAAATACAGTTGTATTTAATTGTACTTTCTTTACATATGTTATGTATAACGATGCGTTCGACAGACCTAAGCACTTCATAAGAAGCAATTTTTGTTTCCAGTTGTTATTATCACTTTAGAGTTAAGAACATCCATTCTTCTCCCATAATTCAACTGTTTATTGTCACATCGCCATTGACGAGTAGTATTTTCCTATATTGTGGACATTCCAGCATTTATTCAAAACCTGAATAATCTTATACAATACTCTTAATGATCTATCTACAGTTCTTACCGATAACCTTCTGCGCATTGGCAATCAAACCTATCAGTTCCTTCTATGCATGTACCAAAGTTGGTACAAGGGTTAGAGGAACATTCAAGGATGTCAACTTCACAGAAGTTTCCAGTGAATCCTTCAAAGAATAAAACACAAAACATTGGTCTTGTCAAATTGAACCATGAAATATGAACAGTATGTGTAGTCATAAATTTGGGGGTAACCACAAATATATTTTCAATATTCTTTACTGCCTGTTTAAAAACTAGAATGTATGTATATTTATGGACATGAAGACACTTCCTGATTGAAAGACATGTGAATGTAGAGGCAATAAAGTATTACTCATTTCATAACATGGTGTTCAATTATAATAACAAAATTGTTACAATAATTCATGTGCCTTGCAGTCATGCATGTCATGAAAAAAAAACTTTGCAAAAACAAACAGAGGTACATGTATTAGTGCAAGAAAACATGAAGGCTTTGATCAAAGTGTGTTTCTAGTGAATTCATTCCTAATTTTGATGATGTAATGCACCATTAGCTTTCCGAAATACCCTGCCGAGAGCTAGTAACGTTGGTAGAGGGAGGGCACAGAGATCTGAACGGCTATTTCTTACTAACCACTTGAGCAGGCACATGTATATCTTGATCTTCCATCTATACAAGTCGCTCCATGCTGGCAAGGATCAGAAAGACAGTCATCAATCTCCTGATCACAGAGGTCTCCAGTTACACCCGGTGGACATATACAGTCGTAGCTGTCCCACTATGTTAACGTGGAAAGAAATTTACACAATATGAAACCTATGCACTGACCTTAATGTCAAACAACACATTTATATGTGTTTTTACTGCAATAAAAATACTTGTACAATAATATATTTAAATTATTGAACACAATTTGTGATATTTCATGTGTTGATTCTATGAATTATTCGCTTCCAACAGACTGATCAGTATATTGTTTATTTATGTATTTATTGTGGTAAGAATACTGCACAAAGGACAATAGTATTAAAACGTCATAAAAATAGTACATTCATAGCAAAACAATAGGTACACCTTAGATCAAAGATTATTGATGGTGGGATAACGGAAGTTGGTAATGGATGTGAAAATAAAGGTTGTATGATATTACTTTAGCTAATTTATAGGAAGAATATATTGTTGAATGAAGTATGATCAGTGCTGAAAGAAAAAAAATCTTTGTTTGCATGCTTCAAAGTAGGCCTATTGTCCTCTGAGTGCAAGGTACATGTATAGGGAGAACAAAATGTACAAATACACATTATAGTATCACTTTCTATTATTGGCAAATAGAGATGATTAGTAATGCAATATTGAAATTAATATAATCCATATAAAGAAAAACATATACCTTCAGTATAAAATCAGATGTAAGCACATCTTTAAGTTAGCAATCTAATTTACATATATGCTTAGCATTTAAAGGACAAGTCCACTCGAAAAATAACTTACTTTCAATAAAAGCAGAAATCAGACAAACCAATCAAAAGAAGTTTGAGCAAAATCGGATAACTAATAAGAAAGTTATGATTTTTTGAAAAAGTATGTAAAACTATGGAACAATGAGAATCACAACAC